TATGACCTGGCCATTGCGAGGACATTGAAATGAAGGCCAGCCTCGATGCATAGCGTGTCAGGAACCTTTTACAGTAAAACACTTGTTAGTAGACTGTTTCGACTTTAAGTCAAGACGAGAACATTTCCATAATAACATTACATGTCTTAAATCTCTATTCGAAAACATGACTGTCTCTTCAATTTTAGGCTAACTGAAAGCCGTTGGCCTGTTTAATAAAATATGAGTCATCTTAGCCACTTTCAATATTCAAATTGACGTTTGTCTTTTAACCTTTAAGTTTGTCTGATGTTTTTATCTTGTATTTCTTTTTTTTGCGATTTGTTGCCCCCAATGACCTAGCCCGTGTTGATGGGCCGTTAAGCATCTAGTAATAAAAATAATATTTCAACCCCAAATAAGCATAGATTTACGCCTTCGTAACATACAAACTATTTGTAGATTCTAGACATATCGCTTTTCTACAGCGACAGAATAGCCTTCATTCGATAATTCAGACTACTTAAACGAAATCCTTGCAACAAATTCCTCTAGTGCACCGATAAAATAAAACCAAAAGCGGGTTGAAAATAAATACACCGTCAAAATCCGGGTCCAAGGCATTATATTCGCTCGTTAGCTAAAGCTGCAACGATACGCATACCTCACGATACGATACGATACGTATCGCGGTACGATGCTTACGATATGATACGTATCACGATACAAATATCTGCTTAAAAGGTCAAATTCATGTTGATTCAGTGCAGGATTTCATCTAGTTATGCCATACACTTCAATAGTAAATGATATAGAACAATATTTTTGTATAATTTCTAGTAATTTTGGGTATGACTACACAGTGAACAAAATCTTCACTGACGGATTCAAACAATAGGTACACTTGTATAGAGTTTGATCAACAGTGATTGATAATTCAACTACTGTTAGTGTATCTCGATACAGGCAAACAAACCAATTTGATACGATACACAAGAAAGTATTGCGATACAATACAATCTTATAACGCCGGCGATAGACCCAATAAAAACCTAACCAATTCAAACAAGATTTCTAACATTCTTGCCATATTCTAAAACGAGTGCTGGTAGGTGTGTTTAACGGCATACCTACATACCAACATTGGATATGCATCGTCCGACAACCTTCATCAATTAATAACACTCTTCATGTGACTTGATAGGATAAACCTTAAACAAACTACAGAAACAATCACGGCACGGCAGGAGGCGCGCCCTTGGCAGCTGTCCAAATACCCAGACCCGGAGAATGTGCACTCACAACAGGAAGTTTAGCAGTAATTTAATTTATAATTACTGCCAAAACAACACCCGCTAAAGCTTTATTGCCTGACTAACAGCAAGATTGTGATCAAAGTTACTCCGGTGTACATAGCTTATTTCTCTCATTTCCGTTTGTGTACGATAGAGCTGACGAGGGTAAAAAAGGGGTGTAGGAAATTTCTTTCTCACACCCTTCACAGGTGTGTCTCCCGTTTTAGCCGTGAATGATCACCCCCTAGGGGGAGATAGCCTCGTCCCAATTAGCACGTGTTCAATTGTGACGTCATTAAAATGCGTCACCGGTAATTGTGACGTCATCAAAAGTGAATGACGATATTCATACCCCACATGCGTGTGTTTTTGTTTACAAACTTGGTAGATTATTGTTGGTGGAGTTGGGACTGAAATAATAGGATGGGAGAAAAATAACCATACCCTACCTTGAGGGTGTAACAGAGAAATATCTAACCTTCGGGGTGATTTTTGTTGGTTGTCTAACCCTCGGGTTACACAACCAAAAAAATCAACCCTCGGGTAGGAGATTTCTCTGTCACACCCTCAAGGTAGGGGAAGATTCTAATAATCTTACACCTTATTTAACGTGCCGTGACGTCACAATGGATCAACAATGACGTGACGTCACGAATTTGGAACTCTCCGATGCCGTAATGCGGAAAAGGCGACGTGATGAAATTGAAACCTTTTACTATACACTAGCGGAAAAAAAGAAACTGTGCATGCGGAGAATTGTTATAGAACATTATTACCAACTGTATATACATGAAAATTCACACACATGACCGAGATTGACACATACACACTATCCGTGTGTCATTGACAGTTTTTCCCGTGCAGTTTGCTCTCTATAGGCGTTGACCAGTTTGCATGTTTTTCTCGTCCAACCATCCAATTCGACAATAAAAGTTTATTTTTCAACTGTTTGGTCACTCTGTTGAGACCAGTGAACAGTAAAAACAGCATTATAGCGTTTTAATTTGTGATTAATGCTATGTCGAGGCTCAATGAAACCGACTGCCTACGGATTATTGGTATGCTTCAAGCTGGTATGGGCCAAGCCGTTGTTTCTACACGTTTTCATATCCATCGAAACGCAATCCGGGATTTGTGGAGACGACATCAACAGTTTGGCCACGTCGGCGATCGACCTCGTGCGGGACGTCCACGTGTGACGTCACGTCAACAGGACAACCATATTCGGTTTGTCCAGTTGAGAAATCGCTTCCAAACGGCAAGTTTGACTGCACGGACAATCCCTGGGTTGCTACTAATAAGCCCGAGAACTGTACGGAACCGATTGCGTGAACGAGCTATCCGTCCGGGACGTCCTGCAATCCGCCCAGTTCTTCTGCCACGTCATCGTGTAGCACGTCTGGACTGGTGCAGAAGGGATCTACGATTTACTCGACGGAATTGGGCAGGCATTTTGTTTACGGACAAGTCGTGAGTCCACCTGGATAGGCGTTCCAGAGTGTATCGTCGCGTTGGAGAACATTTCCGTGACGCGTGTGTGGTACAACGACGTTCTTTCGTCGGAGGCAGCGTTATGATTTGGGGCGGCATCACAGCCAACGGGAGAACGCATCTGGTGGTTGTTAACGGGAATTTGAACGCGCTACGTTACCGTGACGAGATCCTCCGGACCCACGTCGTTCCATTCGTGCAAGGGCATCAACGTCACATTACGTTACAGCAGGACAACGCCAGGCCACACACAGCTCGCGTCGCTATGGACTTCCTGGCCCAGCAGAACGTTGACGTGTTGCCCTGACCTCCTGTATCCCCCGATCTATCGCCCATTGAACACATCTTGGATGAAATGAAGCGCAGGTTACGGGCATAACCTAATCAACAGGTGACGTTGGCTGATTTGGCTGCAGCGTTGGTACAGATCTGGAATGCCATCCTACAAGCATTCTTGAACCTCCTGATAGGCTCCATGCTTCGACGTAGCCAGACTTGCATTCATGCAAACGGTGGACATACGAGGTATTAACTTTGTGAACTCAGTATTGACCCCTGCTGTGTTTATGTCGCCCCTGAACGGAACTTATTGATTCCATAACGTGGAAAATGAAATGCAACTGTTAATAAATAACAAATAAATTGTCCCTGAAAACCTTGTTGTTCTACGTCATACACATTTATTTTTATAACACATTTTAGGCATGCACTGTTTCTTTTTCGCAAGAAAGATCTGATTATTTTTTCTACGCAAACATTGTTTGCAACATATGGGGTATGCTTAATCTTGCTAATAATGAATAATACTCTCCACGGCGCTGCCACCATGTTAATCGTTGAGTTCTGGGACGTTCTACTGACAGGAGAACTCACACAAACACAAACACGTGTTACAGGCAAGACTAGCAGGTAGCCATCTTTATTACACCAGAGTATTATGGGATAGAGGGTACATGATATTACAGAATCGGTGTTTACAAAAAACAGACTAGTAGTATATTTATATGAAACGCATAACTATCATCAACAATTCATTTTCGTCTAAAAAACCAAGGAGGAAAAGTTGATATTTTCAAAATGGTAGCCAGTCTAATAGCATTTTGATGGTTTCTGAGATTATTCTGGTAGTAGGAATGAGAGAAAAATACTCTTTCATGCCCAAAGGTGTAGGATAGGGGAACTTCCAACCTCGGGTTTTACCAAATTTGAAAACACCTTGTGTGGAATTCCCAATCATATACCTTTGGGCATAAAAGAGTCTTATAATATCGAAATTTTATGAAAATATTCTACATCACCGACTTAGATAAAGGACATCAATAGGAAAACAGATCCTTATGGTTGTAATGTGGAAAGCACAGCGATTATGGCTTGATCATTCCCCAAGCTGAAGACAAAGCAGGTAGTTTAGCAAGGATTTCATTTCTGGTAAATAAAAAAGCGCTTTTGCCTAAGGCCAACATTAATCGCCTCTTACGTCAATATAAAGTGGGTAACAGCAGGACAAGTCTTTTCCTAAACCTGCAGAAATTCCATCGAACGGAATTGGATGAACGTGTACGTGGGAAACAGAACGCAAAACAAAACGATATAAGTGTATAACAATAAACGAACTGCTATGCTTATGGCAGCAACATACCCCCCACCCCTAACCCCCCTATTTAGCCTTTATACAATGCATCCGCTAGACAGGGCATGGTTATGGTACCTTTTACAGAATAATGTTATTGGTGCCTTTGGCATGGTATTTCAGTGAGGTAGCACTTTGAGTCGCCATCAGATCAGTGGAATTGCAAGGAAGCGAATACACCAACATTCCCCGCCTCCAGCACGCATACATTACGCATACGAAGGCACGTCCTTAAATAATCTTGGGTGTAAATAGGACATTAAACAAAACTAAAGATCATGAAACCATTTGAGTCACCCTACTTAACGGGCATTGATTGCTGTAAATATTTCCGTTTCTGTGTAACGGTATAGAAAACATAGGTATGAGGTTGTAATGCGTTAATCGTTCCAGCGTTAATCATATTCTTTCAGATATTGATTTGTATGGGTATGTGTTTATTTTGTACCATGTATGTCGATGAATAGCACTTGACTAGCTTATAATTACTCATTTCCTGATAATAAATATAAGCACTTGTTTACAAACATAAATGTATTATGATTTAATTAATAAGATTAGTTATATGTCACACGATACACAGACGGGTTTTAATCGAACGCACCCACCATTTTACTCCTTGCTATCTAACAGAACGCACCGATGAATTCCCGTATGGTAGTGTTGATGTTCACTTTTCTATTGTTGGGTAAGTTTTTTTTATAAACGAATTATGTAGATTGAAAAGTTGCTGTTCAATTAAACTGCTTTGACATCATTGCTATGGACATCAAAACATCATTTGTAATAAGTGTTTAGCTGTATATATCAATAACCCAGACTTACTTACACCAATATAGAAATATAAACATTCTACATGTATGAGCACTGCACACTTAACTTTACTATTTCTAAATGATCAAAGATTTTAGCTCCAGTGTTGATATCCGTGTTTGTCCTTGGTCCGTTAATCTTTATCACACTATAACATCAAACTCATAATCCTGAAAACCAGTTTAATCAAAACTGAGTGGGAACAATAATTGCATACTCTTGATCAATTCTTGTTATTTTGGGGCAGATTTAAAATCCAATGTGCATGGCCACCTCTGGAGCCATTTTGAAACCTATATCGAATTTAAACTAGATTGTTTTGAATCAACATTACCGAAACTTTATGGGAACGCTAAGAACAAGGTCCTGAGCAATTATCGTTGTTTGTTTTGTTTTTGGCCGATTTGAAATCCTATATGGCTGTCATGTCATCAACCTTAGGAAATCTATTCGGAATTTAAACTCAAATTCTTCTGAAACGATATCAACAAAAAATTGTGAACATGAGCAGCGCATGGTCCTGGCAATTGCTATTATTTTGGTTCTGATTTGAGACCCAATAACTCTGCCTATGCTGACATTTTGAAAACTATTTTTGATTTAAACGCTACTTCTATGGAACCATTTTCGTTAAAACTTAATAGAAATGATAAGTATTGTTGTTATGTCCGAGACGAGTTGAAAACCCAATTAGATTACAATGTGGCCCTGAATTATATTATAAAGTGTAATGGGCCAGTGAGACTACTGTGTTGCCATTATGGTCATATTCTGTTGATGGACCGCTAAGACATCCGTGTGACCCTGTAGGACCTTCTTGTTTAAATGCGTTATTAAACCTAGCGGATGAACCTGTGTGACCTTGTGTCCATTTATGTCCTTTCTTTGCTAGTGATTCTAAGGATACCGTGTAGCGCCTCTATGACTGTATCGTGTTGATTGACCGACGGACCATTAAGTCGTTTGGTCCTATGTGACCTTATTGTGTTGATTGACCGACGGACCATAAAGTCGTTTGGCCCTATGTGACCTTATTGTGTTGATTGACCGACGGACCATTAAGTCGTTTGGCCCTATGTGACCTTATTGTGTTGATTGACCGACGGACCATTAAGTCGTTTGGCCATATGTGATATTATTTTGTTGATTGACCAACGGACCTACTCGTTTGGCCCTATGTGACCTTATTGTGTTGATTAACCGATGGACCATAAAGTCGTTTGACCCTAAGTGACCTTATTGTGTTGATGGACCGAGGGACCATGAAGTTGTTTGGCCCTAGGTGACCTTATTGTGTTGATTGAGTAACGGACCTACTCGTTTGGCCCTACGTGACCTTATTGTGTTGATGGACCGATGGACCATGAAGTTGTTTGGCCCTAGGTGACCTTATTGTGTTGATTGACTAACGGACCTACTCGTTTGGCCCTATGTGACCTTATTGTGTTGATTGACCGACGGACCATTAAGTCGTTTGGCCCTATGTGACCTTATTGTGTTGATTGACCGACGGACCATTAAGTCGTTTGGCCCTATGTGACCTTATTGTGTTGATTGACCGACGGACCATTAAGTCGTTTGGCCCTATGTGACCTTATTGTGTTGATTGACCGACGGACCATTAAGTCGTTTGGCCCTATGTGACCTTATTGTGTTGATTGACCGACGGACCATTAAGTCGTTTGGCCCTATGTGACCTTATTGTGTTGATTGACCGACGGACCATTAAGTCGTTTGGCCCTATGTGACCTTATTGTGTTGATTGACCGACGGACCATTAAGTCGTTTGGCCCTATGTGACCTTATTGTGTTGATTGACCGACGGACCATTAAGTCGTTTGGCCCTATGTGACCTTATTGTGTTGATTGACCGACGGACCATTAAGTCGTTTGGCCCTATGTGACCTTATTGTGTTGATTGACCGACGGACCATTAAGTCGTTTGGCCCTATGTGACCTTATTGTGTTGATTGACCGACGGACCATTAAGTCGTTTGGCCCTATGTGACCTTATTGTGTTGATTGACCGACGGACCATTAAGTCGTTTGGCCCTATGTGACCTTATTGTGTTGATTGACCGACGGACCATTAAGTCGTTTGGCCCTATGTGACCTTATTGTGTTGATTGACCGACGGACCATTAAGTCGTTTGGCCCTATGTGACCTTATTGTGTTGATTGACCGACGGACCATTAAGTCGTTTGGCCCTATGTGACCTTATTGTGTTGATTGACCGACGGACCATTAAGTCGTTTGGCCCTATGTGACCTTATTGTGTTGATTGACCGACGGACCATTAAGTCGTTTGGCCCTATGTGACCTTATTGTGTTGATTGACCGACGGACCATTAAGTCGTTTGGCCCTATGTGACCTTATTGTGTTGATTGACCGACGGACCATTAAGTCGTTTGGCCCTATGTGACCTTATTGTGTTGATTGACCGACGGACCATTAAGTCGTTTGGCCCTATGTGACCTTATTGTGTTGATTGACCGACGGACCATTAAGTCGTTTGGCCCTATGTGACCTTATTGTGTTGATTGACCGACGGACCATTAAGTCGTTTGGCCCTATGTGACCTTATTGTGTTGATTGACCGACGGACCATTAAGTCGTTTGGCCCTATGTGACCTTATTGTGTTGATTGACCGACGGACCATTAAGTCGTTTGGCCCTATGTGACCTTATTGTGTTGATTGACCGACGGACCATTAAGTCGTTTGGCCCTATGTGACCTTATTGTGTTGATTGACCGACGGACCATTAAGTCGTTTGGCCCTATGTGACCTTATTGTGTTGATTGACCGACGGACCATTAAGTCGTTTGGCCCTATGTGACCTTATTGTGTTGATTGACCGACGGACCATTAAGTCGTTTGGCCCTATGTGACCTTATTGTGTTGATTGACCGACGGACCATTAAGTCGTTTGGCCCTATGTGACCTTATTGTGTTGATTGACCGACGGACCATTAAGTCGTTTGGCCCTATGTGACCTTATTGTGTTGATTGACCGACGGACCATTAAGTCGTTTGGCCCTATGTGACCTTATTGTGTTGATTGACCGACGGACCATTAAGTCGTTTGGCCCTATGTGACCTTATTGTGTTGATTGACCGACGGACCATTAAGTCGTTTGGCCCTATGTGACCTTATTGTGTTGATTGACCGACGGACCATTAAGTCGTTTGGCCCTATGTGACCTTATTGTGTTGATTGACCGACGGACCATTAAGTCGTTTGGCCCTATGTGACCTTATTGTGTTGATTGACCGACGGACCATTAAGTCGTTTGGCCCTATGTGACCTTATTGTGTTGATTGACCGACGGACCATTAAGTCGTTTGGCCCTATGTGACCTTATTGTGTTGATTGACCGACGGACCATTAAGTCGTTTGGCCCTATGTGACCTTATTGTGTTGATTGACCGACGGACCATTAAGTCGTTTGGCCCTATGTGACCTTATTGTGTTGATTGACCGACGGACCATTAAGTCGTTTGGCCCTATGTGACCTTATTGTGTTGATTGACCGACGGACCATTAAGTCGTTTGGCCCTATGTGACCTTATTGTGTTGATTGACCGACGGACCATTAAGTCGTTTGGCCCTATGTGACCTTATTGTGTTGATTGACCGACGGACCATTAAGTCGTTTGGCCCTATGTGACCTTATTGTGTTGATTGACCGACGGACCATTAAGTCGTTTGGCCCTATGTGACCTTATTGTGTTGATTGACCGACGGACCATTAAGTCGTTTGGCCCTATGTGACCTTATTGTGTTGATTGACCGACGGACCATTAAGTCGTTTGGCCCTATGTGACCTTATTGTGTTGATTGACCGACGGACCATTAAGTCGTTTGGCCCTATGTGACCTTATTGTGTTGATTGACCGACGGACCATTAAGTCGTTTGGCCCTATGTGACCTTATTGTGTTGATTGACCGACGGACCATTAAGTCGTTTGGCCCTATGTGACCTTATTGTGTTGATTGACCGACGGACCATTAAGTCGTTTGGCCCTATGTGACCTTATTGTGTTGATTGACCGTTGGGTTGTAAGGCTACCCTTTACCATCTTATTTATTGAAGAGCCGTCAGGACAAAGGTATATCCATTTTGTCATGATAGGCTTGTAAATACAACAACTAACACTCACCAGTATCATACTAATGTAAGCCTCATTTATTTTTCAACAGTTATAAAACAAGTTATTATGACCTATATTATTCACTCTTAAATAACGATATCGGTGGGAGGGAGGGTATTTGAACTCTCAAGCCTTCGGGCTTCATAACGGAGAATCCTTCTCATTCATCATATCGTCATATTAAGGCATTCGTGCTTAATATATTCATATTTAGGCATAGTACATTTTTACTTTAAACTTTGTATTTTGAATTAAGTGTTTTTCATCCGGAATTACAGACGAGTCCACATTGGCGGTATGTGACCTTTATTGGGACGTCGACCGCCATTGGTATGGATCCAAGGATGATTGCGCCAGGAAAAAAGGCAGTTACAACTTCATTCATAATTTGGAAACATGGAAACAATTAAACCATGGCGGAAATTCGATTGACCACATTTACAGGTATTTGCAACTTACATTAGATCATTAATTACCTCAAAGATATCCTACCGCTGCCGGCGTAGACCAAATCTTAACTGAATTAAATCAAAATTGATTGATTAAGCAGGAGGCACGGTAGTGTAGTGGTAGGACGCCGGGGTCATGACCGAAGGGTTGCAGGTTCGCGTCACGTCACGTCACTGTGTTGTTTTTGAGCAAGATACTTTACTCCGCTTGTTCCAGTCGGGGTGTTCTCGTTTCCCCCACTTACTAGAAAATGAAATAACACATTTCATCTTACATACCAGCAGTACAAGTACTACAAAATGGATATATTTAATACTAAATATATATATTTATATATATGATAAACAATTTAAATTTTAACATTTGTCATTACAAATCTGAAAAAAAACTTATATAATGTATTATTAAATTAAATATGATAAAACACCCCCTTAGATAGAAGGGTTAACCACAGGTAAAAACACAGGTAAATACTGCCCATACTACTTAGAAACAGACTATAATCCTTCTAACAACATTCTTCCCCCATGTTATTTTAAAAAGTGGGGGAACTGAGAACAAGCCTTCCAGTCTACTCAGCTGTAAATGAGTACGTGGTTGGGCAGTGCTGGAGTTGTTGAATGTTCTCCCAAGGGAGTTGAGAAAGATATTGGCTGGTTGCAATGGCCCTATATCCACGGATGATAATTTGTGAACCGCTTTGAGACGACCTTCGAACTAGTTTGTGATAAAGCGGTATATAAGAACCTGGAATTATTTGATTAATATTATTAAATTCTTCAAATACTTGTACAAGTAATTTTGTGATTTAAAGTACACTCAGTTGTCATGTTTCATACTTTACATTGTGGATTGATTAAATAACATTGTTTCGGTTGGATGCCACCCAACCTGTGACTGCTCTGTTTGAATATATCTCTCAAAATTCTACATGTTTCCTTCTTTCTATTAACGGACCATGTGAAATATTCGTTTTCCTTTGGAAAGGTTCAACTCAGTCACCCCTGAAGTCACATTTGAACTCTTCCAATTCATAGGTTGGAATAGTCCAATATAAAATATCAGGGGTGAGTGAGTTAAAAGAAGCCCTCTTACCGAAATAGCAAAGGTCGGCACAAGTACAAAGTCCGATTAAAATAATTGTATGCACTGTCCCAGGATCTTTGAGAAAAAAACACTTTTATTAATTTTATTAATTACTCTAGAAAGCGTTAAGAGGGTCGAAAGGTTGGAGGAAACCGGAGTACCCGTATAAAACCAACATGGTCGGGCAGGTGATCCAATACCTTTTCTCGTCCGATTGGGTACTCGAACCCCGGTCATTTGTGTGAAAGACAGCTCTTATACAATGTATATGATACAGTATATAACCTTAACACGTACTTTCAATATCATATAATTGAATGTAACTATAATTCAATGAAAAACAATCCATACCTATGTAAGACGGCAGGTAGTCGACACAACTTATCGTACACTCAAACCTCGATAGAATGTCCATTGTTCTTTCAACATATTGCAATGTCTTTTTTTCTTATTACATTAATAATTCCTTTATGCATTTCTCCCAATTAATCGCCAAACCCCTTTATGACACTTATAAGCTGTCAAATAAGTGAGAGAAAAGACAGGTATCGAGGCGATACCACAGCTGTCCAATGAGTTGAGCACTTAGAAGACAGGTGGGTAAATTATTGGACAGTTCATGTAGCTTATTGGACACTTGTGACATCATCGCTATGTTTTAATTGGTAATAAATTTCAGATTAAAATCAGAGAAGAAGAATGGAGATAAACAGTCAAACCTGTATTGGAACACCACATTTGGGGAAAGTTTATGCAGGTGGTCTTCTAGTACAGGTCTATTTAGGAAAAGTAAGAGGTCTCTTTATAGAGGTGGTGGCAGGAGCAGGTTTAACTTTTAAAGTTTTGTATGCGTTATTTGATAGTTATTATTGCCTGTTTATTGTTCAGCATTTACGGTAATCGCAACATGCGACCGGGTGTGCTGTGTGTCTTCGGTATTGTATTTCAGTGAGATAGCACTCTAAAGTCGGCAGCAGATCCAAGCTATCGTTAGGAGGTAAACACACCTACACATTCCCTCCAACAGACATGCACGTGCATTACACACATGTTGGCACGTCCTTTATGAACTTAGTTTATAATAGGATGCTAAATTTAAAACATAAACCATTGTTTTTCAGGTCGGACTCGACTGGTAATTTGGCGGATTTGTGTCCGGGGAACAACTACACCCTGTTAAATAGTACATCTACAGGGTGTCTTAATGTTTACAGTAACAGATCGGTTGCCATCTGCAACAACGATACAGTTCTATGTTATAAAGGTAATATTTAACAGATATAAGTACATCGGATCTTACACGAGTTTCCGCTCGTGTGGACATCATAGCTAATCATACACTCATAATTATGTACATGGAGGCACGTCCTTAAATTATCTTATCATGTAATCAACTGCAGGACGCTTAACTCAATAAAACAAATCAATGCATTTCCTTCAATTTATCATGTATGAAAGGGGTCTATTTGTTTCCCCTTTTACATGTAGCAAGCCTCCGAACACCTTATAAACGAATTGCCAAAGTCATTAGATGATCATCTGACGTCATTCGGTGTTAATTGATGACGTCACAACGGGATTTTTTAATTGAGTTTAAAAGGAAAAATACGACAGAGACTGATTCAGGGTAATATGTGATAATGCTATCGACATGTATACGTATTAAATATCTTATTTCATTCAATTTCGAGTAAAATCATGGATTGCCACAAATGAAATTAAAACCATGTCATTAAGTTATAGGTTTAACTGGTTTGGGTTTGAGAATCAACTAAAATACATATGTCTTCCTGCTTCCAAAGTACCAATTTCTTCAATATTTTCATTTTACAACAAATCTGAAACAGGTTTTTATAATTTTGTATACGCGCATGGGGGTCTTCGTGTGGTAGGAAACCAGATTACTCGGAGAAAGCCCACTTGGTCGGACAAAATACCCTTACCATGTCACGTTTTAGTTTAAACATATTTATTGACAAAAATAGACGAGGGATTAGGCACAAGTTATAACAACCTATCAACGCCTTCTCCAAATATGACATTACAATACTGACAATAAATATATACAATTGTTATTACATTTTGAATTCAAAATCTCTTGCTGGATTCAATAAAGTTTTGCACAGATCTAAAAATGTTTGAGTTAAGGTCCACGGAAAATTGTAAATTTACAAACAAAAGAATTTCTAAATTTAACCCAACATTCAAATTAATCAAATTTTGAACCAAAATACGTCTTTCGTTTGTAAAAAGGTGACATTCCATAAAATAGTGAAAGACATTCTAACAAGGATGCACTCTCAACAAGGTTAACTCTAAAAAGGTCATAATTAAGGAAACTGCACTGGTGTCGGAGCTTAGTATGCAAAATATTGAGTTTACGATTTCCGATTTTTAAGTAAATAGTTGGACTTGACCATATCACGTCCGATTGGGAAAACAAACTCTGGTCGTTTTGATTGACCATCCGACATTTTTCGTAATGTCACACCAGTTCCAACAAATTTCTTGAATTCATATCTAAAGTTATTAAATCTAAAGGGAGTTGTTTAATTTATTCAATATATTTCTTTCAATATATTATCTTTTTTTAACCAGGTACTGAGCCACATAACACGGCGTCTGATGTTTGGACTACAACAGGATCAATGACTACACCTTATGACGTCACATCCACTCAAAAAAGTAACAGCACTTCCTGCAGTTGCGGCGACAAGAAAAACTGGAGCACACAACTCGGCCATGACGAGTTACAAAACTTGATCCAAGAACTGAAGTCTCAGGTTGCTGTAGACAGGAAAGATCTTTCTGCGTGGAAACGTAAATCCGTCAGTGTGTATGACTCCCGGCCAAGCAACGTGGCCATAGGGTGTGTGGCTATCGCCTTTCTGACCACGGCCGCTACCCTGATCATTGTACCCGACATCATCAGCCTTGTCAGGTTCCTTCACAATCGCTACTGAAAATGTGAGACGCACTTACTGTATCATGATATCGCATGGATATTCTTTTCTATTTAACTGCTAAGAGTATGGCCGGCCCTCGTGACATTATGAAACATGGAGTATTGCAATAGATCCCTGTCAGTGCAAATTATTATATGAATCATGAACACTCGTAAACATGTACAGTGGGTAACCTTGTTATATTTTGATAGTTAATACACAGCAATACAACTGTCTACTGTTGTTTTCTGGTATTCTTTTCTTTATTTGCTATTTAGTCCGCCGTATACTATTATTAGAATGTACATACATGAAATACTGTAAACGATCTTATTTCAGCGGACTTAAATTTTAGCGTATTATCGATATTTTTTTACAGATAAACGCAATTATGAATTGGCTCACTCCCAATATGAGTAATTAGAAATTATATCTAGAAACGTATATAGCAGTTTTTAATCGAGTGCATTTGTTGAAGCGCGAAAATTAGAATACCACTAAAATGTGTAGGTTTACAGTAGACCTCAGTAATAAAACGTTGACTAAATTTAACCTTTAATTTGCATTTGATTTGTGTTAAGTCTTTCGAGTTCCTTCTCGACGCTTTAGACGCCAAATGGCATTCTTGGGTCAAGTGGCTGTTATACCCGAACAGACAAGTGAAAAGTACATGGAAAGCGAAAGTGAAGCATAATGTACAGTTATATGAAGAAAAAGCATGGAAGGAGAGAATGAGTGGTGACCGCGATTTCTGCAGATTTATAATTGTTCATGATAATTTGGCTCCTCATATATTGTGGAAATTGTTAATGAAATTTCCTCAAAACAGAGAAGCCATACGTAGTATAATGAAATTGATTGTATCTCTAAGACATTCAGAAAAAACTGAATTATGTCATAAATGTGGACAAATGTATAACGATATATATACCCACATAGTTTTACAATGTGATTGTACAGAAGACTTACGAGATCAGTTATGGTGTCAAGTCATTAATGCATGTGAACTTATGTTTAGCGTATATTTACACTCTCATTCAGACTATGAATTGTTTCACCTACTGATTGGTGGCAATATAACGTATGAACTGAATACATTAGAGTTAACAGAATTTCGTATGGCATCAGTCAATCATATTTCAAAAATGCTTAATGCATACTTCAAATGAATATTCAATACTTTTGTGTATATCAATCTTAACATTATTAATTATGTATTCTTTTGTAAACTGTACTTAAATTGATTAACCTATTACTATTACGTTAACCTATTACGTTGTGCACTAATTTTACCTTACCATCTATTTGATTTTGCATTTATTATCTAATTTATCATTGTAACTACATTATTCTGTTTGTAAAATCTTCTTAAAGGAGGAAATAAAGAGAATAATAATGCGTTCTAACAACTTCAGACTTCAAAATTCTCCGCTAGAAATTAATATAAATGTTCATTTAAACAAGAGATCAATTAAGATAGGAGAAAATATCTAACAATTCTCTGTCACTCATTAGACAACTATTAACGTAACATCCCATCTCAATAATCCCTGTCCCACTACAATCTTTTCGTATATACAGCAAACTCCAATGAATTTAATTCTGGATGCAACTGTAGCACATTTCGCTCAGCACAATTCCGATGATCAGGTAACTCAGTCGGTTAGAGCGATAGTATAACGATCTGAAATTCAGGGTTCGAATCCCGGTCTAGCCCAGCTGCTTTTTTTTCACTCAAAACATTGATGTTGGTTATATTATTTTATTTCACCATAACTGTTTTTGCAAAAAAAAAACATCCCGGCGTAATGTGTGATTTTCTGTTCATAAATGAACAGCCTGAAACAGTCTACAATTACAGTCCTGGCGGAAATGAGAAATACAGTTTTCAGTACGGGGATCCTTAACACAATATTTATAAGGCATCCCAAAAGAACGTAAACGTTTCGATGTACTCACCAACGAACGTATTTTGTTCTTTAATACCGGTGCTCGATCTATTTTGATCATGGGAAAAGGAAATGACCCGTGAATACAGATTGACGTCCGTCAACCTCTGACCCTGACTGAAGTGTGACTTTGATGACGTCACCAGCGCGAAGCCTCAAAATTGCAACACCAGTACTTGTGTCATACTGTTGGTCATTTGCGTCAGTCCAAGTGTATCCGAACTTTTGCCCGTTGACTTCCAAAATAGTCCCGACATCAACCTCTCCAAACGTCTCCACTGACCACGTGATATGGTACACGCCACTTACACTACATGTGAACTCGCCAGTCGTGTTGTCATAGCAATCACCCTCATTGGTGTAAACTTCATCGAATACAACTGGATTTGTTTCCGTATCGACACTTACTGCAGCGTAGAATGCTATAGGATGATGCACTTCTGAAAGAGACATAACACATTTTTCATAAAAAGATATAGGGTGCACTATCATAGTTCTGGTGCAGTTACATCAGTCTACTCTGCATATCTATTCGCCTGTCGTCTCGGAGTGTACGAGTACGTCGCGCGCGTGGATATATTTCACGAGGGTTTAGTCGGAGCGAAACCAATCGGTAAATGTCTGCACTTGCAGTACACGAGAATTTGTTTTGCAGAAAGTGCCGACGGTTTGAGATTGCACACGGTTCAATCGGGAACCGTCGGCACTTTCCGTAAAAGAAATTCTCGTGTACGGCATATCTCTGAGTTTTGATAGCTGACTTTATACTGATTCTTTCAGTGGTTGAGAGTCAAGAGACCAGTCCTTTACACTCTTTGCTTGACAAAGGAAACCATCATCTGATGAAAGGAAACGGACGTTTTCGAAAGCTCGCAAAATAAGTTTTCAATTCATGTTTGTGTTCAAAACAAACTTAGTCTTGATTGATAGTCAGTTTTTCTGTTCCGTTTTATTTTTATCAAACCATTTGTAATATGTAACAAACTTGACAAGACATGAACATATCCCTGATGGTCCCGACGCTGGTCCTACTCGTCAGTTCTGGGTATAAGACCTAGATAGCATGTACAATATATGTACATACTGTGTAATATTTCAGAAATAGTCAACGTATGTGTGTGTATTATGGTGGAATATATAACGAGGGTGCGAAAATGTTGGACACAAATAATGAACGAAGACCGCTTGCTGCCTGAATTGAATTTTACACCCTTTAGCCCAGGTAATATAACTTGAAATTAACTTAGAGAATGTTGTTGTGGTAAAGCTTGTCCCCAAATTATTCTCAAACATAGATACCCATCACACTTGCACTAGTAGTAAAAATGTTAGGTGTATTTTGTGCACGTAAACAATGCGACAAACATCTCGATCGTCGATAAGAAGTCCCTATCTTTTCTTCGCCTTCTGGATAACCGAACTACTCGTCAGTGAAGCAGACGTAAAACCAACCAACCAATCAATCAATCAATCAATCAATCAATTAAAAGCAATGATTTCCATTAGGCCCAGGAGTCGTCTTACAAAATTGAGCATTATAAATAAGTTATATTTAATACTTTATATTTAAAGTTTAATAGGGTCCTTAATACACATATCTTGGTTTTTAATAGGGTCCTTTCCTTAATACATGTATCTTAACTTGGTTTTTAATAGGGTCCTTAATACACGTACCTTATCTTGGGTTTTAACAGGGTCCTTAATACACATATCTTATCTTGGTTAAATATTTAACACAATTTTAGAAGGAATTATTCGTTCATTCCAGGAATGGAATTCTTGCAAAAACATGATATGAAACAAAAGGCCGTTTTAATCATTGCTGATGAGGACTAACAACAGCTTTTGTATTTACTTCAAACTTATTTAACTAAACGGAATGCCGGAGGCGTCGACGATTAGGGCAGAGCGAGCATAGAGGAGGTGAACGTGTGTTCATGCAAGTTTTAAAAAGGTGGGTGGGACTAAATATGCTAGGAAATCAATGATGACCATAAGATACTGTCTACAAAACACTTATTGAATGCTAGAAATGAAGACATCATCAACGACGATGCATACAGCACTTCCAATTGAAATATTTTTTTCTCTCTTTGAATTTGTTTAAAGAAATCATAACGAATTAATAAATTCATTTGTTAACTTGCCTTAATTTGTTAATAAAACCGTTACAGAATGGGTAATTCGGGAAATAGCAATTTTATGGTGAACAAAACTATATCCCTCGGCGGCTTTGCCGCCTCTGGAAATACATGTAGTTTTTCACCTCGGGGGACTATACATTTGCTATTTCCCTCATATCCATTCTATAACTGTATACTATTGATCGTTGTAAGGTTAAACTTAAGATCTACGGAGAAAAAAAAGGCAACCCGCATAGAGACGGCGCCGTGTCCACATACTTAACCGAGTTTGTGTCGGACAATCAATTTTGGATGGATTTTCAATTGATTTATATTTGTTGTTTCTCGTTTTGTGTACATCGAGCACCCTACCTTGTGCAAACAACAAACAAGACAATTCAAACCGCTAAGAGACGGCGCCATGCTCCACATAACTTACGGATTTTGTGTCTCACTATCAATTTTGGATGGATTTTTAATTGATTCCTTTGAAAAATTGTGTAGTATTGCTGTTAACTTATTCATCTTTTTATATACATCTGGCACACATTAATGTTAAACAAACGATAGCTACAATTTATGTACCAGCTACGTCTGTTGAAGACATTTCAGATATAACAAACGCGGGATATACTGTGCACAAGAGATTATAATACCTGTAGTTTGTGCTCCAGTTGTGCTCCGTGGATCCGTGGGCTGACCAGGAGAGGGGGTTCCAATAGGTTCGGAAATCCGAGTTTCAAAATCCTTGGACAGCTCGTTGAGTTTGTCAAACTTATAACCGAGATTATTAAGTGTTCTGGTTACGTTTTCCATTTGAGTTTCAAGGTCGTGTAACTTCACATCGTATTCCACTAGTTGTTTCCGTAACTCGGCGTTTTCAATACGCTGAATCTGCATTAAGTGTTGGTCACCACCAGAACACAGCCCAAATAAGGATTTCTCCCTGTTCGTCAGAGGCTGTGAAACGGTATCTCTAACAAGTAGAACGTATGTGATGAAGTAGATATACATGGTGAGAGTTTGCATTTTCTACACCCCTATATATAATATATATTTATAACTACAAATATACCCGTCCGTTAGTCTTCACATTGACAGTATTGGTATGATGTGGAGGATTAAACTTTCCCATATATATATATATACATACGTACACGTACGTTTTTTACACTTGTAAAAAATAATAATAAAAATAACTTGAATCAGATTCATCGCAGCCAAGTATTTACTTCCTCGAAACCTATATTTACGTGTACATTAAGCGCATCCAGCAGTCCGTGTGTTGAAGATCAACTTTACCTATTACTTAATAAATGTTTTATTGGCGAACATAATTATATCAACACGACATTTTGATATTGACAAGATTAACTGCTACAGATGTGTTATGAAAATGTTTTGTTCTTGTTTTTACAGTATTGATTTTTTTTAAGAAAAATAAATCTCAAAAGTTGCAATGCTAACCAAGCTTTGTTTTTTGCTGTACTTCTCGCCCGTTAACCGGATTGGTGTGTTAGTGATCTTTACTTTCCTCCGTATTATAAACCAAAACAGGATTTATTTTCTTTTCCCAGATTCATATCGCGACTGAGAGAGAAAAAAACGATAATATGCTTTACTCATTCACCCCTGAAATATCATAATGAACTACTCCAACCTTTGAATTGGAAGAGTTCAAACGTGTCTTCGGGGGTGAATAAGTTAATATACGGATTAAGCCTTCCAAGTTCCATTCGGTGATGACGTCTGGTCATTATATCTACCATTAGTTAGCCAGGTAATGTGACCGGTGGGAGTGTCGTGCTACCGTGTCCAGGTGATGACAAATATATAAATAAAAAACTTGTTTTTAAATCAATCAGTAAACGTTTTACCTTATTACTTAAATATGCACATAAATATTTGTCTTCTTTATTATATGAAGGAAAGATTACGCAAGCGTAGTGCTTTTCTTTTCTTTTCAATATACATGTAGAACATTAATATTAAAAGATAACTACATAAATTATTTGGTTTGTTCGTTTGTTTTAGACTTCGCACCCGCTACAAGATCATATGTAAACGGGTGTCGTTGTAGACACCCACGAGATAAAAGGGTAGGGAAGTGAGAACAGATATAAAGTCCCCTAAGATGGGTAGCAGAAAAAAAATTGATTTCTTCACTGTCCCCTAAGCAGAACAACCTCCCCGATTCTCCAGTCCCTCCCCCCATAAGACTGTTCCTACGATAACATGCACAGGGGACACGGCAGATCTAAGAACCCTTGCGGAGAAAAACGGTTTGCCGGCTTGTCGGTTTTTAAATGCAACATTTTCGGGTATAAATCCTAGCGGACCTGCAACCGTTTATGGAGGCCTTGCAAGGCTTCAGATTACTAATTCCATCATGAACAACTTTGGTCAAATCGGTTCAATTGTACATGTTAGGATCGCGATATATAGGCGGTCATACCATACACACAGACTCTACAGTAAAGCTTTTTCGTTTACTTCCGTGTTACCCATCCAATAATTTTGTTTCTATCAAATACATATCCTTGTTTAAGTTGTTTGATTGATACTTGTACTTTTAGTGTTTTTTTTTTTTATTTACCTTTTAATGCCATTTTGTGATATCACCTATTCGTTTTAGTTCCGTCACTATATGGGATTAATACGTAAAGCAACGCCCCAGATATGTATAAAACGTCCCCCATATATTGACAGTTGGCAATCACGATCATAAAAATCCAGTTCTATATGCGTATGCTATTGTATATATATAAACAAAACAAAAAAAAACACATTTATAACATACTTGGGTATATACAGTGTACGGTTACGAACCATCACTGGTAATAGTGTAGGAATATATTTCTCCCAGTAAGCTCTTATTACATATGGAAACCCTTATTTTTCAGTTGGAAACGCTTCATTCCAATTCAGTCATTTAAGATGTATACTACCCATGATCTGTGTTAGAGTTATCTCCCCGGATAAGTGCACCACTGACATTAACTATTCATCAAAACTGTTTGAATGATTTTTATGCACGTATTCCCGGAGATAAACTCGACTGATAACCACTTTCCTGTGTTTTTGGGGTTAACACGCTTTTAATTGACCTGCTGCATCCGGTCTTTTCGTATTGCAGAGTTATCTGCTCTTGATAGCAGGTATTGATTGTTACTTCATTTGTTTGTGAGAGTGACGTCATCATTTTTTGAGAAAACAAATGACATAACAATCAATACCTGCTCACAAGAGCAGATAACTCTGCAATACGAAAAGACGGAATAGGACCAGAGGATGAGCAATTCACCTCACCCGTTTAAACAAGTGTCTATACCCATTGTCAGTTATCTATACATGTATTTAGGCGTCTTCCTCGACGGATTTGCCACCATGCTGTGGTTTTCTAGTGTTGCACGTTTACAATGAACTTGGACAAGACAAAGAGCAATCCATTTTCTCATTCACCCCTGAAACTCCATAATGAACTAATCCATCCTTTGAATGAGAAAAGTTCAAATGTGTATTCAGGGGTGAATGAATTAAAACAGATTAATTGGTACTACACTATGACCAAATATTATTGGATATCATCTCTCAAGGGAGATAACCTATCACAAGGGATCACCTGTGAATGGATACACTGACCATTTTTCTCAAGAAATATCTATTAAAAAACACATCAAGGAGCGATCCATTTCTCTCTTTTAAATCTCGTTTTTTCAATAGTCAGTATGATGCAACTGGGTAATCTGTTGGGAGTATTTGGCATGCTCATTCTAGTGAGATTGCTCTCTAAAGGTGGCATCAGGTCCATGCTATCGCAAGGACGCAAATACACCAACACACCCCACCTCCAGCACACACATACGGTTCCCTGTACCTCTGCCAAAATATGCAGCTAGCATCGGAATAATCGTGTAATCAGTACAATATTTCATGACAGAAAGACTGCAGAAGAAGGACAATTTGACAAAACAAAAACAAAACCAGTACAGTGGCCGTGACATAGATCATTATTATGTTGCTTACCCCAATAAATTGGCTATTTTCTAAATTGTGAAATATTTTACATTTTATCTGTTCTTTGATGTTCTTAATGTATTTGTGGAGATGGTCATCATGGGCAGTAAAATATGTGTTGGTAGTATTGGTAGTGTGCCTGTTGGGTGTCTACCTTGCAATTTTTCTCTCAAACATTTCTTTGTTCTTATATTGTTCTGTGTGTACAGGTCCAATACACTTGACAAATAATCTAAATGAGGCCAATTCTGGGTCTTGTATGCCACTCCCTTTGGCCTGAAATAAACATGGTATTCTATTTAGGAATTCTAAGGTCTTGTTCAATTCTGTATACAAATGAACAACAAACTGGATTTTTCAAAAGTATTTTTAATCTATTCAATGTAAAAGCTAAAATCATTCAAAGTATGACCTATTATGATATACAAGGAGGGATTAATCAATTTTCATGCACAAACGACATAACTCCATTATATCTTTCACCCCTAAAACTCCATAATGAACTATTCCATCCTTTGAATGGGAAAAGTTCAAATGTGTCTTCAGGGGTGAATGAGTTAAAACAGATTAATTGGTACTACACTTTGACCAAATATTATGGGATATCATCTCTCAAGGGAGATAACCCATCACAAGAGATCACCTGTAAATGGATACACTAACCATTTTTCTCAAGAAATATCTATTAAAGAACACCTGTCAAGGAGACAAAAGGATAAATACATCACCTGTCCTAAGAGAGGTCACTAAACAAGAAACAATTGAGAGCACAGGAACTTGTCCGTTCCAAAAGAAGAAAAAAACATATAAAACTAAATAAAAACTCAGGTTTGTAGTGTTTACCACTTTGGTTCACTTGAGGTACCATACCTACTTTTGTATAGTAATTTTGGTTCACTACATGGTGATATTAGCTTGTGTTCAGTGTTATTAAAGAAAACAAATGGCTGATTGATGCATCTGTCTTGCTCTCTGGTTACTGCCAAAAGTAGGACACAAAAGAACACCTCTGTCAGAGGAGACAAAATGACAACAGCACCTGTCCTTAGAGAGATCACTAGACAAGATTCTATTCAGCGGACTGGGAGGGCTAGTGGTTGAGGTAAAACTGCAAAAATGTATTAAACTTCTGATTCCAACAATTCTGAAACTGCAATAGTGAAGACTTGTCATTACCTGAAAGAAGAAAATAACCAGTTAATCATAACCCTTTCACCACTGTAGACCATAATGGACTCATCCAGATCAATGCATGGAAGAGTTTACTAAAGTTACATAGGTGTGAAAGAGTTAAATGAGACTGCTTTCCTATTGATAGCCACATTATGGTTTAATTGCTTCCCTTAACTCTTTCACCACTGCAGACTATAATGGACTCATCCAGATCAATGCGTGGTAGAGTCTACTAAAGTTACATAGGGGTGAAAGGGTTAAGATGTCTGTAACTCTTTACACTAGGATCACCAGCAGTATTTGAAGATTCTTCTGGTTATTTTAGATCAAAATTTGTTCAAATACTACAGTTGTATACATATTTCGAATAACTTTTGAGACTTTAATCAAAATTCACAACAAGATGTCACTGAATTCCTTAAACTAAAACTGGAGATATATGCGAAGGGCATAATCAGTGCTTTTATTAATGTGACAAGATATAGCGCCTAAGTCTGCAGGTAGATGGTGTATTTAACTTCCTTGACATGTTTGAAATGTAACTACCTTGTAAACAAATATCCAAAAATATCCACATTGTCAGATCAGTAATTAAAAATTAGATGAAAAAGTTTTCACGTTTTTCATCAACCGTGTCCTGTATTAGGTAGGAAATTCCAGAAATCTTCCAAGCAGCAGAACAGTCCCATCCTTCACCAACTTTGAAGTACTCCTTCTCGAACCTGTAAATTATCACACAAACACTACATTCAAGACTTGACATATAAAACAGATTCTATTACAAACACAACAAAACAGTGATGGGTTTTGATCAGGTTTTGATCAGTCAAAGGGAATGCATACAAAACGATGGTGCCACTACTTGTTGTCAAGAGACGCAGAGAAAAGATGGAAGCTCATTACAATTCTACACAAATATAGCAGTTACATGTCAATAATATAACACACAGAGATGCCACAACAAAAACCTATTAAAAAGGAAAGCAAGTCAATCACAATCCTACCATAATGTGCATACTTGACAAGGGAGACAACTACATCACAATGATACAACAGTCTAGAAAAGTCTGAAAAGGGAGATAACTATATCAAAACAAGAGCTGTCGGAGAACAGCATAGCTCGCCAATGTATGTTATTATAATACTGCAACTATCAATAGAAACACATGTATAGTAAAACGTTGATATAGTGCCTGTCATTTTATTTGCCACCTCACTTACCACCAGGATATTTCAAGGACTGTTAAATGTGTAGAAACATCTATGTGAAGTGATTGTTAAGAAATTAACAAAGTGTAATAAAGCTGTTTTTGGACGCTAAAATATGAAAATATGGTTCAACACATTGCTTACACTCAATACAAATACTTCAACCTTATAATAGACAACAGCCTATTGATGGTGGTGGTCCAACACTACCCAACAAAACTTGCGCAAAAACTTGAACCTCAAATTTAACTTAGTCCAATTAAAATATGAAAATATTGCCAAGAACATTACTAACACTCAATATAAATGACTTAAACTCATATTAGACAACTGTGTATTGCGTGTGATGATCCAACACTGTCTGGAAAAAACTTGATAAGGGTTATGAGTACATCACAAGGATACTTGACAAGGGAGACAACTTAATCATCATAATCCTAATACACAGATTGGATACTTGACAAGGGAGACAACTAAATGATCTTAATCCTAATACACAGATTGGATACTTGACAAGGGAGACAACTTAATCATCATAATCCTAACACACAGATTGGATACTTGACAATGGAGACAACTTAATCATCATAGTCCTAACACACAGAATGGATACTTGACAAGGGAGACAACTTAATCATCATAATCCTAATACACAAATTGGATACTTGATAAGGGAGACAACTTAATGATCATAATCCTAATACACAGATTGGAAACGTGACAAGGGAGACAACTTAATGATCATAGTCCTAATACACAGATTGGAAACATGACAAGCGAGACAACTTAATGATCATAATCCTAATACTCAGATTGGAAACATGACAAGGGAGACAACTCAATGATCATAATCCTAATACACAGATTGGATACATTACAAGGGAGGCAACTTAATGATCATAATCCTAATACACAGATTGGAAACAGGACAAGGGAGACAACTTAATGATCATAATCCTGATACCCAGATTGGAAACAGGACAAGGGAGACAACTTAATGATCATAATCCTGATACCCAGATTGGAAACAGGACAAGGGAGACAACTTAATGATCATAGTCCTAATACACAGATTGGAAACATGACAAGGGAGGCAACTTAATGATCATAATCCTAATACACAGATTGGAAACATGCCAAGGGAGACAACTTAATGATCATAATCCTATACACAGATTGGATACATGACAAGGGAGACAACTACATCACAAAATCAATGATACAACAGTACAGATACATGTCATGTGGGACAACTATATATACAGATTTTTAATTATTTTAATTCTTATTGGTTGATTTATCTTAAAGAAAAGCCTAAAACAAGCATGTGTTTTATTTTTCACTTTGATTTAAGCATGGACACAAACAGGTGTTAACTTGATTGTGTCCCATAAAAGCACCTGCAATTATGGCATGTGCCGGTTGGCAAGATTTTCTGCAAGTTCTGAGACACAGGCAAAGTGGAGTGCAACATAGCAAATCCCGGAATTTTCTACATTTTCACCGGCATAAATACACATAATGCACAGATGGATCTGAAAAAAACTGAAAACATTTTTCATATTGATTTGCCAAATCCATTTATTCGTTTCAACCCTGCAGACCATAATGGATTCCTCAAAATCAATGCATAGTAGAGTCTACTTAAGTAACATAGAGGTGAAAGGGTTTAATGTCTTTAAATATAAACTTTATTTATTTTACAACAATCATGAAACAAGTTATACACACTTAACAACTGCACGCTCATTCACTTGTTTATTTAGTGACCCTGTTAGATCGAACGTTTAATCTGGAGCTTTGTGTCACCTTGTTTGTTTGTAACGCGCACAAGCACAAACCTTATAAGGGTGGTCAGATGGTGCAGTGGATAAGCTCTCTCCCTTCACTGAGGGGACTTGATTACCTGATCGGACGTCAAAAGGTATTGGGTCTTCTGTTTCCTCACACATAGAAAACCACACACACACACTTTGATCCGGGCCAACAACAGTTATTAATTTAATTTGAAATACCTGGTAAATTGTTTCATAATTGTTGTAAAATCAATAAAGTTTATATCTAATGAACAGCACAAACTGAAACAGCACACAATAATCAAGTTTGCCGTGCTGTGTATGTCAACAGAGACAAGTACATCAAACTATTTTATAATTACCTTACGGTGCAGGCAATTCGTTTCCTATTAGCCATATTTATGAATATTGAAGGTTTTTCTTCCGCAGTTTTACCCTGGTATCCTTCTAACACCAACAGGATCTCCAATTTCGTTTTCTCTTGCTCAGAAGTATCCGAGGTTGCTGGAAAGAAAATAAACAGATACATTTATTACATAGTTTTTGGAATGATATTTAATAGAATTTAATAGGATACTGGGAGAAATGGTGTTATCCCTTCCATGTATTGTATAATACTGTAAAATCATCAATTTTCGTGGGACATTAATTTTCGTTATTTCGTGGAGAACACAAATCCACGAAATTAAATCCCCACAAAAACATAAATTTGGTATGATATAGATAGGTGAAAATCAGAAATCAGCGAAATATAATGTCCCTGAAACAGGCTTGTATATGAAAACCAGGTATTTTAACCCCACGAAAATAAATGATTCTACAGTATATTAATAACAAGAGACACAATGGGCCTGCATCGCTCACCTGGTATAAATGTCACACTTGTAACCTTAAAAGTGATCTAAAATAAAGCTACAGGAAAAATATCAGTATTTATGATTAAAATTCATTCAAAAGATCCTGTTAACTTTTTTTTAAACATTTCACCCCTGTGATTAAAAGTCGAACAAAGTCATTATGTTGAACAAATATTATAGCCTTTCATCTCAGGATGCAACTTGCAAAGTATCAACATCCTGGGACCCATAGTTATTCAGAAGAGGTCGTTTAAAGATTTTAAACAAATTTGACCCCTGTGACTTTGAATATAAGTCAAAGTCATTCACTTTAAAAACATAGAAGTCTTTGATCCTAGCATGCTACTGACTAAATATCAACATCCTGAGCCTTTTGGTTATCCAGAACAAGCTGTTTAAATATTTTGAACATATTTGCTCCTTGTGACCTTGAATATGATTCAAGGTCATACATTTAAACAAACTTGGTAGCCCTTGATCCTAGTATGCTACTGACTAAATATCATCACCCTGGGCATTCTGGTTATTCAGAAGAAGTTGTTTTAAAGTTTTTAACATATTTGACCCCTGTGACCTTGAATATGGGTGAAGGTTATTCATTTGAACAAACTTTGTAGCCCTTCATCTCAGCATGCTACTGGCCAAATATTATCACCCTTGGCATTTTGGTTATTGAGAAGAAGTTGTAAAAGTTTTTAACATATTTGACCCCTGTGACCTTGAATATGGGTGAAGGTCATTCATTTGAACAAACTTTGTAGCCTTTCACCTCAGCATGCTACTGGCCAAATATCATCACCCTGGGCATTTTGGTTATTGAGAAGAAGTTGTTTAAAGGTTTTTTTAGGTGATTGACCCCGTGACCTTGAATATAACTGAAGGTCATTCATTTGAACAAACGTGGTAGCCCTTCACCCAAGCATGCTACTGGCAAAATATCATCTCCGTGGGCAGTCTGGTTATCGAGAAGAAGATGTTTAAAGTTTTTAACATATTTGACCCCTGTGACCTTGAAAACGGGTGAAGGTGATTAATTTTAACAAACTTTGTAGCCCTTCATCCCAGTTTGCTTCTTGCCAAATATCGACACCCTAGGCCTTTCGGTTATTAAGAGGAGTCGTTTAAAGTAAAATATTGACGCTAGACGACAGACGCCGCACCACAGCATAAGCTCACTTTGCATTTCGTGCCAGGTGAGCTAAAAACTGGTCCATTTTACCATACTTTACAGTACCATGCCATACAGGTAGCACAGTGGTTATTACTGCCTACATGATACTATAGCTTTACAAACACATAGGTGTCAGCCTCTGAAACCTTCAATCAGGAATATAGATCTCCCTCATTCCACATTTCCAATGAGGGACAAAGTGTGTGAAACACAACTGAACCCGTGCATGCTTTGCTCAATTAATATGCCTGCTTTATATATCAAAATAACTCCAAAAAACATTAACTTGAGTCAGACACACCTGTTATGATCATTACACACACCCTGCAGTAACAAGGAGATCATTTGACCACAGAATATAGATTTTGAATTTGTGTGAGTTTGGACTTGGTCGAGGGAGTTTCGAGGGAGATTGGTAAATTTTGGTGAAAACGAGGGAGTCACCTTTCTAATGAGGGAGGTTTGACTGCTATGTAATCAACAGGTATGAGGAATGTATTCCTTTGGCAGAGATTCTTTATGTGAAAAAGGAAATTTTAATTCATATTATATTTCATATAAAACTCTTTGCTATATTGTCGGATAAAGAAAAAAAGCCAAGCATGACAGAGATTTCATGTGTGAAAATGGATTTTTTTTATTAATATAAATCTTCAATATGAAAGTTTGCTACCCTTATATGATAAAAGTTTAAAGAAAAATCACGATCAAAATGTTTCTTCTCTTCTTCTTTATAGATTCACATGTACAACACAGCACTAGGGCTTTATACCTTCTTATATAGAATAGACTTGAACTTTAAATTTAGATAAAATACTACAAAATTATTCGTTGCTCATTATGAACAAGAAGCTTCACAGTATTTATTGGTAAAAAATCATGTAATATAAACGACTCATACTAAAAGGTCAATTATTTTCTTGATTTTTGTATATTTCCTTCAAATGTCGGGACGTATTATGTTATCATGTGAGTGGGCGGGACGAGCTCGAACAGTGTCCAGTCGATATCGAGCACATAGTTTTCAACGGATTAACTTCAAACTTTGTAGGAAGGTTCATTGCCATAATAGCTCAGACAAGTTTGATAACCCTCATTGTTGAACAGTAATTTATGGAGTTATGGCCCTTTATGTACAACCATACGGACAACTGCTCATTCAATAAATGACAGGCGTATTATGTTCTGCATTTGCGGTACCCTTGTTTTTAATGTATTTGGGCTGTTTGGAACCATACCTTGTGGTTTTATTTGTACTCTATGGATGTGTCGTACGGGCGTATGGATCATGTCCTCCTCCAGCGCCAGCTGTTCCAGGTGAGTTGCTGGAATCTTCTCATAGTTTTTCTTGATTTGTTTGAAGGCCTGAAACAACAATCTGATTGTAAAATTGTTTCACATTTTTATTTACAGCCCACACAAACACCGAATTAAAGAGTATCAGCAAAGGACAATTCATTAATCTCCTTCAATTTTGTTTTGTTTAATAGAGATTAAAATCCTAGGTGCTAATGTTAGGACATGCTTCCATGTGTATACTGCATGTGTACATGGTGTAATGTATGTGTGATGGTGTGTACTGCATGTGTACATGGTGTTATGTATGTGTGCATGGTGTAATGTATGTGTGCTATATGTGTACATGGTGTGTACTATATGTGTGCATGGTGTGTACTGTATGTGTGCATGGTGTGTACTATATGTGTGCATGGTGTCATGTATGTGTGCACCATGTGTACTGTATGTGTGCATGGTGTAATGTATGTGTGCACCATGGCGTGTACTGTATGTGAACATGGGGTGTACTGTTTGTGTGTATGGGGTGTTGTGTATGTGTGCATGGCTTGTGCTGTATGATTGTATGGTGTGTTATGTATGTGTGCATGGTGTAATGTATGTGTGCATTGTGTGTACTATAGGTGTGCATGGTGTAATGTCTGTGTGAACCATGGCGTGTACTGTATGTGAACATGGTGTGTACTGTTTGGGTGTATGGTGTGTTGTGTATGTGTGCATGGTTTGTGCTGTATGATTGTATGGTGTGTTATGTATGTGTGCATGGTGTAATGTATGTGTGCACCATGTGTACTGTATGTGTGCATGGTGTACTGTGTGATGCATGTGTGCATGGTGTACTGTGTGATGCATGTGTGCATGGTGTGAACTGTATGTGTACATGGTGTGTACTGTATGTGTGCATGGTGTGTGCTGTATGATTGTATGGTGTGTTTTGTATGTGTACATAGTGTGTATTGTATGTGTGCATGGTGTGTTATGTATGTGTGCATGGTGTGTGCTATATGATTGTATGGTGTGTATTGTTTGTGTACATGGTGTGTAATGTATATGTGCATGGTGTGAACTACATGTGTACATGGTGTGGTATGCATGTGTGCATGTCGTAATGTATGTGTTATGTTTGTGTGCATGTTGTAATGTATGTGTTATGTTTGTGTGCATGGTGTAATGTACGTATGTATGTGTGGTGTAATGTATGTGTGTGTACTGTGTAATGTATGTCTACATGCTTGTGTGTGCTGGAGGGAAGGTATACTGGTGTTAATGTCTCTAGCAGATATCTGATGCCAGTTTCCGAGTGTTATTTGACTGAAATACCATGTCAAAGACACCCAGCATAGCATTCCATCCTGTCACATTATACTGACAATTGGTGAACCAGTTGTTGTGATTTCCCTAAATGCTGAACATGTAATAGGTTAAATTAACTACATTGGTTTTACAATTGCGCTAATTAAATTAGGACTGCAGGTACATAGGATTACGGTTGCCTTCAAATTCTAGCTTCGCGCTAGAGGGAATTTTCCTTTAGCTCAGTGGCAGAGCATCGTCTGGGAACCTACGGATCGCTGATTCTATCCCCAGTGAAATCACACTACATATAGCTTTTTTATTGCATATCTTTCGAGTGCACCAATTAATCAATGCAATAATCTGTGAAAAAAACATTATATGCTAGAACTTGTGTCTGCTAAAATTCTGGACAACACATTAATGTAATATTATAAGAGCGTAGCTCTCGGGCGCCTTGAAGCTCTTTAATGGTAACACATGCTTGCGTAAACAGAGTTGCTTCCCCTTGCTACACCTTGCCTTTAATTTTTTTCGTCCGGAAGTAGACGTCCAGTGGGGAAACCAGAAGTGTATCCTTGAAGCAAAGAAAATTGTGTTTCAACCCATACATGAACATCTTCATATAGTGGAAACAATACCCATGTTGTATTACTTGTTTATTTAGATAAAAACTAATATACATTCAGAGTGAAAACAATCTATCACATAAATTTTGATACTATAGTAGACATGAAACGTCGTTCAGAGATTATCGTACTATGACGTCACAAGCACATCACACTCCATCGGCCTTCATCGGTTATTTCCAGAAGGATGAAAAATAACCGGAAAATCTTGGAATTGATGGCCGTTGGATTAACATCTTTGTAGGTGCTTCATGTCTTTTTTATTTCAGTTTTTGCCACAGGCACAAAAAGTAAAAACGTGGTTGTTTTCTGAAGATCCTTTTTTTTGTCATCAACCAGGTTCTGTTAATATTTCTACCGGGAGATATTTTCAAAAAGAGCCGCATTCAACCAATAGGTCAATGTGTACATTTATTTTTCATCGTCTAAAATTTCATCTGCTTTTGATTTCCATTTGTTGAGAATATGAACGAAATAATTAACATTTTTGAAAGTCTGGTTATAGTCTTTACATAATTTATGTATGCATCACCACTCATAAAAGAAACAATGGATGATTCATTTATGTCGAAATCGACAATAATTGTCCAGACAACGAACCTGAGTTCAACGCCCTTTTTCAGCAACATATTATTTTTTTACAATGCATGCCAATTTACAACTAGTTACAGACAGAAACTGTTTAATTTTATTTGGCATCATTACCTGTCAAACCTCAGTGACAGTTACATAATCTGAAATACAATCCGTTGTTTCAGGATGGAACAGGAATTTTAAATATCGATATAACGACAATCTCAGTTACATCAAAGTATTACAATGTTGTTTTTTCTTAATATTTTTTTATAACTAACATCTCTATACATTTACTTTTATAGACTTATCGTCAAATATGTAATATGCACTTTTTTCTATAGCAATTACCTGTTTTATCCCCTTCTTATTTCAATAATTCTATTTGTGACCTGACGGAAGCACACAGAGGATTTAGTTCTTAATGTGGTACAGGAAGCAGGAGTATCCGAAGAAAACCCGTGTGGTAGGGCAGGTAACCGGGATTGAATCCGGCCATCTTGGTGAAGACGAGCGTGCTATCCACTGCGCCACCCAACCAATCATATATGTTATGCACAAGAACAAATATCGACTTTAGCTTTGAAAATGGCGTCATTGGTGCAAAAATTATATTGTGAATACATTTTTAGCAATCATCAACAATACAAAAAAATCTACATATGGGAGACCGGGGCAAGCTCGGCCACCCCTGATATTTTTGTTTCGAATCTAATATTTATAACTTTAAAGATCTTAGCAGTTTAGTTGCCTGGGCATTCACATGCAAAAATGGTGAGGAAAACTCTAATGTAAAATTACTAAACAGGAGAAAATTACTTTTGAGAGGGTAGAGAGAAAATCATGATCTCGCTTCTAGTTATGCGAACTTTCTGTAAATGGAAATTTTATTTTTACGGTCAAACGTGTAACACACCGACAGCTTCAAATGATATACATAAAAGCAAAGCCAAGCACTCACTACCATATTGCTGTACAATAAGAATTTATTGAAATATCAATTTGGGCCCGGACAGTTTCGGCCAATAATACTGTGTCAAGTTCAGCCCATGTAACACATAAAAAGTTGTAAAATTGGCGGTAAAATCTGACGTTGTATATTCTAATGGGGCAGAACTTACCCGAATGCCTGTCCGAACTTATCCCATTGCGGGGCTCATTTGGCCATCTGATCATCCGACAGGGAAAATTAAATAATTTTCAAAAACGGACGTGCTGCCATACTTCCCAGAACGGACTTTAATAAAAATGGGCCGAATTTGCCCAATCTCCCCAATTGTTATGTCGGTCTTAATCTCATTAGAGTTTATGTTTTATTAGTATCCCTCGACTAGTCGACTTTAAATAAATTTTATCTTGCCTCATTCTGAAAGCAGTATTATCCCATTCTGAATCAGTAAATATCAGAGATCAACAAAAGCTTCGCTATTTTATGCCCAGGGGAGCTTAGGATAGGGACATTCCACCCGAGGCTTTTGCCAAATTTGAAAGTCCTGAGGGTGGAATATCCCTATCCTACACCTTTGAAAGAGTATTTTTCTCTCATTCCAACCACCAGAATAAGCCCAGAAACCATAAAAATGCGTTTGGACTGCCACCATTTTGTAAATATCATTTTTTCCCCTGAGCTTTTTAGACGAAAACAAATCAGCCAGCCAGATTAAGCATATCCCATATTTGCAAACAATGTCTGCACAGAAAAAATAATCACATCTTTCTAACGTGTACGGTAAATATATAGTAAAAGGTTTTAATTTCATCACGTCACCTTTTCCCCATAGCGGCATCGGCGAGTTGCAAATTTGTGACGTCACGTCATGGTTGAGCCATTGTGACATCACGTCACGTGAAATGGGGTGCAAGATAGAAACTTCCTACACCCCTCTCTTACCCTGGATAGCTCTATCTTACTCACAGGGAAATGGGAGAAATAAATATAGTATGCTTTTCACAGATTATAACTGAACTAAATGGAAAAACATGAACAAAGCTCTAGTGAAATACTGAAGCCTCTGTAACATCAATACATGGGTCTTCCTTAGTGTAACCTTTTAAAAACAGGAAGGGTTAAAATTAGGTCTATGAGTTCAGGGGCACAGTGACAGAATCGGGAGAGATCAAAACAAAACCTGAGTTACCTCGGATGTTGTTAAACTTTCTACTTCATCAACATTCCCTGTGGACAGCAAATTGGCAACCACAAGTACCGCCTGAAAAAGAAAGGAAAATAAGTAATAAATAAAGGAAAAGAGGCTTGAAGGGTCATTTACAGCCTTATCAGGGATTTAGAATTTGTTGTTCTACATGTCATCAGAAATAAATGATGTACACAAATATGAAATATCAAATTCATTCAACAGCTGGTTTGTTAATTAATGTAGCCGAGAACGGTAAACAGGATGGGGTTTCACGCCTTTCAGTATGGAGATGTTTCAGTACCTTTTAAAGGGTTTCCAGAGTTTTTGTTTGAATTTTTTTTTAAGAATTCTGACACTTGGACTTTGTTTTATCTCTGCACTTTGATTTTTTTTATCCTGTGTGTTATTGAATTTAAATTTTAATAGTATTTAGCATTTCCCTCTTCTAAATGAAAGTACTGAAACATTGTATCTTAAAAAACCATAACAACCGGGTATCAAAATGACTAGGATTAAAAAAGGATATTCCAACCTGTACCGTAAACTTTAAACATTGTCGGTTGCAACAATATATTGGGATACTTTGAATACAGTACGATGCACAATATTTTTCAGGTTACAATGAACCCACAATATTTTCAGGATTTTGTTGTTTCTCAAACATAATTTCGTCTACTCATATTGGTTCCAAGTGACTGCTTCAGCTCGGCATGCACATCAAAAGACGTGAATTGCATGAAACTTCATGCCCATTTTGAACCAAGTCTATAGACTCCATTTGTAATATTGCCATTAATAATTTGCAACATATCTTTCTCTTTGCTTCTTCTGTTACTATATGTATCATGATATGGTGATATGTTACTCCAACAGTGTTAGAGGTTTACACAGCGAAATACTTTTGACAGGCGCCACTTGACAGTTGGCAAAATCATACCCAATAGAAAAAAAGGTTGACCTACAGCCTGTTATGTTATAGGAGTAGGTGATATGTATATGTATAGTCTACTCCTATTACACAAGAGGCGTCTGGTCGGCCTTTTTTCTATCGAATATGATTTTACCGACTGCCTGTCATAAGTACCTCGCCGTGTAAACCTCCAACACTGTTGGAATAACGTATCGTCATGTTAATTTATTGTATGGTTTGCAGCCCTAGTGATGCGATTACCTTCTTCGCTGCATCCAGGAAATGTGGTATCGACAGTTCCTTTTCTACTTTTCTAACAATCAGTTGGGAAAGTAAATTATGAACAAGACTGGTAAAATTTGGGAAAACATACATTGGGAACGTTTCTGGCATTAATATATTTTCTTCAGTGTACTTTCCACCATGAATACGATTCTTAGGAGTAGAAAAGGTGACCGGCTTTTTCTTGTCGTCATTTTCGAATTCAGAGAAAAATCTCACAGATTGATGCGCGATATTATATTTTGACGAAGAACATATCCCAGGGCCATTGCGCCTACAATATGTGAAGTTTTTCCTCAGTCCAAAGTCAGACTTCTGACGATTTTGGGGAGTCGTTGAAAATAAATTTGTGGAATGACAAGTGTTGGTTGAAACAGGTAAGTGTGCTCTACATATCCGAGGACTAAACGTGTCTGTCAAAACCAGGAGTGAGCGGTTTAACATTGAATGTTGACAAACGGACAGGTACCCAGTCATGTTGGCCTCCAAACAGCCTTCGCCAGCCCGTTGCTTTTTAACCTTTTTAAGCGTTTCAGTTACCCAGATAGGTGATTCCAATTACAGTCCGGGAGAGCCAAGCTAGGCCCAGAACATTCCGTTTATCCGTCGACTTTTAGGTAGATACATTTTAATTTATCATTGATATTTATGTGACATTTTACTATGACATTATTAGCTTTATTTTGTTGTTTCAAAACTATTTTTTCTTAAAATATTTCTAAAATCATCACCGATATTCCGGAAAAAGTATTTTATACGTTTCTTGCAATAGACAACTACAGTACACTTCCTCTTCATATCATCAAAATTAATTGAGTTTTCAGTAGTTAGGGTGTAATTTGTGCTGTTGGATTATCTAGGCCCATATTATATATTAGATGAAGTTATCGACAAAGAAACTGACCAAAGGTTGGAAGAGGCAAGGATTGTTAACATCGAAAGGGAGGACACCGGTAGTTATGTCGACAGCATGAAAAACGGCAACACGAAGAGGAAAACTCGGAATGACATAAAGCTCAATATTTGTTTTAATGTTAATGTTTCAATGGAAAAAAATCATTAGTAAAATGAATATGATAAAAATATTATTACATGGCTGTTTTCATATCAGACCTCAGATTGGCCCTCAACCTACATGTATATCAGACCTGCAGGCCTTTTTCTTTCAAAAAGAATTGTGCTGCAGCATAACGGTAAATTTTACTGGCTTTAAAGTGGGGTGTTCCTCCTTTGTAATTCTGAAAGGACATGTATCAGTCTAGCATTTGGTCTGTTTTTTTTATCATGGACCTGAAACTCATGAAATGGCTAGCTAATAGCTGGCCATCAGATCAAGAAAATGTATTTAATGTCGCATACAGTTAAACAAGGAACATTAGCTCTTGAGAGCTATTATTGCGACAAACAATGACAAATACCAAGGGTGCAGAGAACGTAAGTGATTGTAACCCTAGGAATTTTTAGGCTGGGACGTATAATTAGTACAGGTACTCAAAAAGTGTGTTATTTCAACAACAAAATCACTCTGATATAGATCTGCGTTCCAAAAACACTGCACTCATACCATTCTCATACCTTTTACATATATTTATTATTACAGTCCTCAGCCATAGTAAAAACATGGAGTTTATCAGCCTAGTATGACCGGGTAGACAACAGTCAAAGCAACTCAACCACCACACTGAGAATTCTATCGTTTGATTTGGAGTCTATTCTCAATATGTCACTAAAGGATGCGGAGGAGACAAGACCGGCCACAGAGGTTGTGCCTGTTGGAAAAGGTAAGCATGCAGTACAACCTATTAATGTATTGTTTTAACTGCAACATTGTTCATCTAATCTAAAAAAATGTTGTATATTTATTTATTTATTTTATTTGTCTAAGTACTGCAAATGTGCACATTGTTGTTAAAGTGTAATACAGGATATACTAAATTGATTTTTTTTTGGCAGAATTACACCTCTATGTGATAAACTTTGATATCAAGTTTACAACAGTTATGAAACTTGTTTTATTTACCTGTGTAGTGTTAACTCTTGTTGGCCTGGATAGAAATGTGACTTGCATTATGAGAATTTGTTACATCGGGTACAAAATTTAAACAAGAGTCGTTGATTGACCAAATGGGAGGTGTGACCTATGTACCTTTTATAAAATTATACCTAAATTGTCTTCAGGTTCAGAAATCAACTTTGTACAGTTGTTTGACCAAATAAGGTCACTGTGACATGATTTTCAAAATTGACCTATATTGTAAGAAATTGCAATCAGGTTCAGAATTAACAGAGAACTGTACATACTTTTATCGAATTCGGTCACTGGCACCAACATCATCAAAACATTTTCTTGGTTCAGAAATCAACCCAGAAAATTAACCCAGAACTTTTGTTATTATCAGGCAAGGGCTTTTACAGGATAGATTCATGTGCATGTATTCCGTCTTTGCGTATTGCAGAATTAACTTCTCTTGTGAGCAGGTATTGATTGTTACGTCATTGGTTTGTGTGAGAAAATCACGTCGTTTTCTCGAAGATTGATGACGTTACTCTAACATACAAATGACGTAAAAATCAATACCTGCTCACAAGAGAAGATAACTCTGCAATACGCAAAGACGGAATAGTGGTGCAAAGTATAGCTAATAAGGGAACCGTAGCATCTAGACCAAATTGTTTTCTGATAATAAAAAAATTAAAAATAAAAAAACTATTGGGCCTACGAGCTACAGGTCCTACAGCTATACTTTGCACTTCTGTACATAGGCTCAATCGTTTCATCATTTCCCCTATCATCGGAGAACAATCAGGCCTAGAAGCTACAGTATGGTTCCTGCAGCTTTTCAACAGTTATTATGGTGAAATTATGTCAATTTTAATTCTCATAAAAAAAAACTTTTTAAACCAAATTTAGCTTGATGGTGGATTCAGTCAATATAAATGTTCATGTACAAATATTTCAGCTGCTACAGAATCAGACGAACATAAAGACACTGCAGTTGTTTACAGCGGACAGAACATCACCGATTCTGTGAAGATTGAACCTAACACTTTTGATCTGTCATTGGTGTCCGACCTTCCGTCGGTTAAGAAATTGATGCAGCTTCCCAGGACCGAAAATGAATTGGCAGTTTCATCTAGTCTGGTAAGAGTTCTTATATCTAGTCTGATAAGAGTTCTATGTCAAGTCCTGTATGGGTTATAACATCTATTCTGGTAAGAGTTCTAAATTCTAGTCCAGTAGAGTTCTAACATCTCATCTGGTGAGAGATAATGTCTTGTCTGGTAAGTGATTCAACATCTAGTCTGGTAAGAGTTCTTATTTCTAGTCCGGTGAGAGTTCTTATACATGTATCTAGTGCGGTGAGAGTTCTTATATCTATTCTGGCAAGAGTTCTAACACCGATAAGAGGTTTTATATCTAGTCCTGTAAGAGTTCTTATATCTAGTCCAGTTATAAATCTAATTTCTAGTCTAGTTAGACTTTTTATATCTAGTCCATTAAGAGTTCTTATATCTGGACTGGTACCTAGTTTGCTTATTTTCTAGCATTCAGTCTGGTAGTTAGTCCTGTAATACACAATTGTCCTGGTATTTGGTCCTGTCAGAATCACAACACCAGCAGATACACTTTGGTATTTCGTGTGAAAATTTTGACAGGACATATTATGATAATAGGAGCATCCAACTCTTGGTCTGTTTACACTTTGGTTGCTGCAAGATCACAAATTTTAGATTTCATTGTATTTTGTTGAAATATGGGAAGTATGTAAATAAACAAAGGGTTGAGTTTGATCACTAGCAGCCTTGAATTAATTACCATATTGCACTCTGCTTTGTCCACTGATTCAGCTGTATGATTCGCCCAGTAATCAAATATTACTAGTTTCTGATAAAACTTGGGTTTGATTGTGTTTTAAGTCCTATAAACAGCTATGGTCATTTAAGGAAGTGCCAGGTTTTGGTGGTGGAGGAAAGACGGGGTTCCGGAGAAAAACCACCGACCTACGGCCAGTTCCTGGCGACTGCCCCCCGTCAAACCAGCGACCCAGTGGTGGAGGGCTAGTGGTAGCAGAATGTCAGACGCCTTAACCATTTGGCCACTACGGCCCCCTAAAACTTGGGTCAACCTTTATACTTTACAAAGACTTGGCTTGAGATTAAATGATACATGAGGTCCTTCCTCTCTATAGTCAATCATGAATTGCTTCCTATTCTAATTTATGCTGGGGATGTCGGCTTCCGGAAAATCTCACACTATTTACATTTATTTTATAATACCTCATCTTTAAAACAGTGTGTCTGATTGGATGACACTGGTCTTGTGATGGGGTAATAAAATATCATGTCGCCCTCATCCACTCAAGTTTCCCCCACTCATATTTCCCTTATTTGGAGCCTTTCTAGAAAAATACATTCTGATCATACCAGTGCTAGTGTCGAACCCTAGGTCTGATACTGTGCGGTTTTGATGTGAAGAAGAATGTAATTCAAAATTTAGATTACAGAATGTTGTACTATTTTTGAGTTATGAATACAAGAAGGCGTTCTTAAATATTTGGATTACATAATGTTCTATTATTTATATATTATAGATGCAAGAAGGCGTAGAAAAGTCTGAGGAGCTGAACAGAGAATATGATGATGCAGAAACTGCCAATCTTAACTCATCAAGATCTGACCATGAGGAAGAAGATCTGTCGTCTACTGTTGTAACCGATGGCGATGCAGGCGATACAGCTGTTCAGAACGACACATGGACTCGTGTTTCAGACGAGGGTTCATCTCAGTGCAGTATCTGTGGTGAGGAGATTGATAGCAAAGCAGACCCGCCTATACACACACATCAAGGAGTTCCTCCCGGAGAAAGACGATTCATGTGTCTGTTTTGCGGGAAGGAATTTAAAGTCAGACAAGCCATACAGGTTCATACAAGAATACATACAGGTGAAAGGCCCTTTGAATGTAAAATGTGCGGAGAAAAATTCCGGGTGAATTTGAGCTTGCAGAGACACACACAAATACACACCGGCGAAAAACCATTCAAGTGTGACATTTGTGGTAAGGATTTTGCACTCAAGTGGAACAAACATGAACACATGAAAATACACACAGGTGAAAAACCGTTCAAATGTGATGTTTGTGGCGAGTTATTTCGGGTGAAGGAACGGTTACATGTGCACACAATCAAACATACGGGGGAGAGGCCATACAAGTGTAAGTTGTGTGGCAATGAGTTCAAGGTCAAATGGAGTCTACAGGAACACATGAAAATTCACACGGGGGAGAAATCGTTCAAGTGTGACTATTGCGGGGAAGTTTTCCGAGTGAAACAAAGCTTGCAAAGGCACACTAGAATACACACTGGCGAGAAACCATATAAATGTGATGTTTGCAATGAAGAGTTCCGAATACGACAAAGTTTACAGCGACATATACGAATACACACGGGAGAAAAGCCATATGCCTGTGATCTGTGTGGTAAGGAGTTCAATATGAAATGGAGTCTTCAGGAACATTTATGGAAACACAGCGGAGAGAAACCATTCAACTGTGATATTTGTGGGAACAAGTTCGCAGCCAAACGAAGTTTGAAATTACATTCAAGAATGCATAATTCTAGTATTGACTTGTAGTTATACAAATATTGAATGAAATATATATAAATAAAATAAAATCTACACAGAGTAGAAAACGTTGTACTGATTTGACAATAATAGAGATATCTTTTCACGTAGAATAACATTTTGTATATCTTTACTGAAGATACGTTTTTATCAAATGTACAATTCCCAATATTCCAAGAGTAAAAATATGATAAATATATGGCGTTGAACTATATGCTAAAGGTGCTTTATATACCTAATGCCTACAGTATGTAATGTTACCTCTATGTTATGGTAGAACTGATTGGTCTGAGAGAGGAACGACAACATGTGTTCTGTGCTCCATCTTTTATTCAGATAGGGGTGCCACACAACTATACACGGGGTATCAGAGCCAACCAAGGGAGATCACTCTAGTTACATCATAGTATATATATAGGTTGAACACTACCATTATACAATATACAATGTAGTCATATTGTTACACAGTATACATTATAATTAATTATTAAAATCAAAACATGTCAATTTGACAAGCATTTTGACCCTTCATGATCCATTGATGAAAACGATGAAAACTATCTCATAAATTCCGAACCTGTCATGTTGATGTACATGTATTATGATATAAGTATTTGTGTATTCTTTCGTCTAAGCTTCCAGCTTGCTTTACAAATTTATGTTGTATGTGCTGTACATGTCAATGTTGTGTAATAAAAGTGCAATATTCATATTGTTAACCCATGGCCATTCACCCCTAAAGTCACATTTGAACCTAACCAAATCAAAGACTAGGCAAGTTCATTCTAAAATGTAGGGGTGAATGAGTTAGTACATGAAATCAACAGGTTTACATTCAGATTTCAATTATAATAAATGTCAATGTTAATGAAAGCATTCTGAGCGATTTGTTTTCTTTATATAATTAGATCAATTTACAAGATATGTCCAGGAGTGTACACTTTCATATTTATAATACTAACCTGCAGCTGCAGGTGGTTGATTTTGACAATTTCTACTACAATTTATATTTTCATAGTAGATGTAGCAGAACTAGACTGAGTTGATCATCGGCGACTAGGAATTGGTAGAGCGTCTGACTAAGAGTTTGGAGGGACCCGGGTTCGAACCCCAGTCTGGCCGTTTGGGGCTTTGGGCTGTCACAACATATCGGAAAACAGGTATATCGCAATACACGGGTATATTGTATTGTACCACAATACAGATGAAATATTGCTGTATCACAAAAAAAAAAAAAGATTTTTATGTATCTCATTCTGCTTGGTAATTTGACTTCGCAAATTACTACAAATTCTAACAGATATGCCAATAAGCATACAACAGGCTTTTAATAGTGGTGGGAATTAGTTCAAATTTTTTAATCGATGGTTGGTTTGACAAAAATCTTAAATCCATGCGATCCATATTGCATATGATTAAGTTTGAAAACATTCTGACAACTTAACATAAAATTGAGCACATCTTTCCTATGACAATATATCGGGATACGTATCGCAATACATTCATTCTGTATTGCAATATGTCGCGATACACTCTTGGCGTATTGTGACACCCCTACTGGCCGTGCATTTTTCCTCTCCTGTTACAGTGGTGCCTGTGACCAACTTTTGTTTCAAGCATCGGTTGTACGCTTGGCAGAGGGATACCTGAACTTGGGTTGTAAATAGTTGTATCTTTGGGGGCAAAGACTTTAAAAAAAGAAGGGAGGAATGTAGCAGAACTGGACTGGGTCAATCGTCGGCAACCAGGTAGCTCAATTGATCCAGAGTCTATCTAGAGTTCTGAGGGTCCCAGGTTCCAACCCCGGTCTGGTAATGCATTTTTCCATCTCCTGTTACAGTAGATATTAAATTGTTTCACTAAGCCCCGACATATAACATATGTACTGTCCTAGTTCTGGTTGTTGGGAATTGTATACCCATTGAAGGTGCCGGTACATAAGCCTATAATTAGAGTAAAGTTCAACAAATGACCTTCTCCTGTCTGTCGTTCATCTGTCAGTGTTTCGAACAACTTGTCTTGAAAACTGAAAGACCCAGGGTTTCAATATTTGGCCAGTAAGTATATGTGGGTTGTAGCCCTGTAAAGAGTGGCTTATTCTTACTAGATAGGACACTATATATATATATATATCAATTGTATATATCTCCATTGCCAGTTTGAAATTGAGAGCCAAGATAAGATTTCAGCGACACATTTAACACTCGTTTGACCTCTGACCTGGAGGCAAATACCATTCTTACTGAATGCAGTGTAATACACACCTTGGTCCATATTCATTCTCTTGCTCAAACTCAGATTCTATGCTCAAGTCTAATTTGATGTTCCCTTGATAATAAAAATAAAAAAATCACACCTCCTAAATGACACTGAATAATTTTGAAAGACCTGAAGGAAAAAACTCTTTTCAATGTTTACATTTGACTTTTTGACAAAATTACATTGTTTATGCAAGTTTACATTAAAGTAGACTTGAGCACGTGAATAGTTTCAGAATAGTATAGGGGGCCAGATCTTTTAGGACTTAAAAGCCACCGCTATGCAGATGAGAGGTTATTGGAAAAATCAGAAATACGATTTATCCCGTTCGTTTCATGGAGAGACAAAAGAAAAAATAGAGAAGGTGCGGGAGAGGTACATATATATGGGAAGATACCATGGTTCTCTGTAAAACAAAATAAAATCCAGGAACTCCTGCTGTCCTCTACCAACAAAACCTGGCACGTTAACTTACAGGACCAGCTGTTAAAAGGACCTAAAACCCAAACAAAATTCAAAAAGAAACTCGAACATATTTACAAGGTCTACTTGATCATTTAATGGCATTTTCTTTTATTTACGCATTACTACATGGCTACAAATAAATATATCAGAGTATGGAGCTCCGGTCAAAATATAACCTTACTACATTATTATGTATATGCTTTGTACAATGTACAGTAGCTATAGACATCACTTTCACATACATATATAAGGTAATTAACTTTATTAAGTTAAGTACAAAAAAAACCTCAAGGATATATGTATGCTACAATAATGTGATATAAATCTCCATTAAAAAAGAGTTCCATTAAAATTAAACAAAAATACAGCTTTTCTTAAGCTTCCATTCACACAATGTTACTTTTGCATCAATGTAAAAAATGCAGCGCTGAATTTGTGGTTGTAAGATTGTTTCATATATATTGTGGATCCCATGCATACCGCTGCCAAAAAATGCACATTGCAAACTGTTTTTCCGGTATAACTATAGCTTTGATAAATAATTTTTGAAAAGAAAACCATACCTTGCAGAACATTTATGAAAATAGAGCAGATGAGATAACATGAGACAAAATCAACAACAGTGACCTGAGCGTCAAACAAAATCCAATGAGGTTGAACTGGATTTGAACCTGGGACTTCATATTCTGACACTATTGTTCTAACTGATTGCATTGAGCTTCATGGTCAATGGAAGTGTACTGGCCTAAAAGTGATCAAAAACAAAATTAAGGGAAATCATAACTTTATTAAGAAAACCAGTGTAGTCAGACAAAGATCCTTAAGTTTAAATGTTTATCATTCTGTTATAATGTTCTTTGAAACTTCCTATAAACACTACAATGAAACTAATGCTTAACTGGCACAACAATGGCTACATATACATATGTATGAGAAGCACAAATCAAAGGTAAATATAATGATGACAAGTCCCCATGGCAACACAAGTCACCATGGTATTACAATTGCAAGTCACCATGGTATTACAAATCGCCATGGCAACACAAGTCACTATCATCATAGTATTACATACAATTGCAAGTTGCCAGTGCAACACAAGTCACCATGGCCACACAAGTCACCATGGTAACACAAGTCACCATGGTATTAATTACAGGGGATAATTACAAACTCTTGTCTTAATTAGATTGCTTTGACATGCATTAAGGATTTTAATTATATATAACCTGACATTAAAAGTCACTAGTACATATATATTACAACCGACATCAAATCACAAGTTTGCATGACATTACAAACGGCCATAGGCCACCATACATGCCATCAGAGGTCACTTAGACATTAAAAGTTACTAAATTTGAAGTCAATGATACTATTATTTAACCCTTTAACCACTGTGGACCACAATGGACTCATCCAGATAAATGGATGGTATAGAGTCTACTGAAGTTACTTAGGGGTGAAAGGGTTAAGTCAATCATCCATGGTGACTGACATCACCTGACTATCGGTTGTCTGTACAATAGACTAATACCTATCTATGGGTTGTCAGTATCTAACAGACTAATACATATCTATGGGTTGTCGGTAAAACAGACTAATACCTATCTATGGGTTGTCGGTAGAACAGACTAATACCTAGCTATAGCTATGGGTTGCAATTGTCAGTAGAACAGACTAATACATAACTATGGGTTGTCAGTATCTAACAGACTAGTACCTATCTATGGGTTGTCAGTAGAACAGACTAATACCTATAGCTATGGGTTGTCAGTAGAACAGACTGATAGCTATCTATGGGTTGTCAGCACAGGTTGAGCCTTCCTGTTTGACACTTGCATGCTTCAACAGATGAGTGTGTAGGTTCCCAGTCTGAATGAATCCTTTACCACAAATTCCACATGTATATGGCCTCTCACCGGTGTGCGTCATTCGATGTACCCTCAAACCTCCGCCTTCTTTAAAACGCTTTCCACATATGTCACATATGAAAGGCTTTTCACCAGTGTGAACACGAATGTGTTTCGTAACAGAAGTTGATTCGGCGAATGCTTTCCCACAAATAGGACATTTGTATGGCTTTTCTCCTGTATGTATCCGTTTATGTTTTGTCACTGAGCTAATCTCACTGAATCCCCTCCAACAAATATCGCACTTGAAAGGTTTTTCTCCCGTATGTACCCGCATGTGTTTTTGCAAATCTCCCGTGCTAGCGCAGGGCTTCCCACAAACATCACACTTAAAGGGCTTCTCCCCTGTATGTGTTTGCAAGTGGTTCTGAACATGCCCAGTTTGACTAAAGCGTTTTCCACAAATTTTACAAGCGTATGGTTTTTCACCGGTATGTATTCTGATGTGACTCTGTAATGACCCTTGGTCACGAAATTCCATTTCACAGAACGTACATTTGAACGGTCGTTCACCAGTATGTATTCGGATGTGTCTTTGTAATGATGCGGAATGACTGAAACTCCTGTCACAGACGTCACACTTGTGGGGGCGTTCACCAGTGTGAGTTCTACTATGTGTTTTCATATGTATTGCTCGCGCGAATTTTTTCCCACAAACTTCACATGTGTAGGGTTTCTCTCCCTTGTGAGCACAGAGGTGTTCGTGGTACGAGCCGGGTAGGTTGAAACCCTTACCACATATCTCACAAGTAAATAGCTTCTGTTTGTGTACTTTGAGGTGATGTGTCTTTAGACTACCAGCAGCGGTGAACCTACTCAAACAAATATTGCACGAGTATGGTTTCTCTCCAGTGTGAACTCTGAAGTGTGTCTGCAACAATCCTTTAGTCCGGTAATGCTTCTCGCAGCGTGAACACTTGTGAGGTTTGTCCGTGGATTGGGTGTCATCCTGTTCAGAAGGGCTGTCCATTTCATCAGTTTGTTCATCACAAGCCTCTTCATCTGTAATAATCAAAAGTCAGCAATTATTCACAGACTTATCCACAATAATGTGAAATCATTTTTTTTTTTATATTTTTTTTATATTTCATGATTTCATAGGTAATCTTCATTCATACATATATAGGTCCACTAAGTATATACAAGTTTGATAAGGCGTTTCTTAGTACAAGTGGGTACTCGTAATCCACAAATTCATGTACCCAGAAAATAGCATTTTGTCGGGAAACCACAAAATTTATAATTTGGGTCCCATCAAAATATCTGATTTCACACTCACAGTAAATCAACTCAATTTTTGCAAACAATAAAATTCGATCTTTTACAAGAATCTGAACTCATGAAAGAACAGGAGGTCACAAATATTCATTGTTTGTATATATATGTATACTTGCCTTCAACAAATCCAATAATCCCATATTTTGGGTGAAGAAATGTTTGTTTGCTTGTTGCAAGAGCTTAAAATAGGTCTGACATATGAAGAAGGATCGATGCCTAGTGAGAAATTGCAGGGGAAAAAATATGGAAGACAGAGAAGGGATATATATGTCCTAAGTATTAGTGTTGTAGTGGGGGCAGCAGATCAGTGTTGGTTTCTTTAGTGTCCCCTGAACAGAAGACACAGAAGAAAACCCTGATTCTGCAGGGGTCCAAATCAAACAGTCGCCTTGTACACTTACCTGTGTGCCTGTTTGTATCAATACTTTTTGAATGAAAATAAAAAGAAGTAGGAGTGATACCTTTGGGAGCTGACATATTTTTTCTTAAAGAAGTATATGCTAATAAGAAAGGATTGAACTTGGAAACAATTTCACAATATAAGGAATATTAAATATTATATATATACAGTGTACAAAAGGATCCCCGGTGTCGATATCCCACTGCCAAAAACTAACTATACATGTATATTGAAAACATTTTTTCAGCATGTAATAAATCACTTTTGAAAAGAAAACTACACTTTGCAAAACTTTCGAGAAAAATAGCAATGATGAAATAAACAGAAAAATAATAATCAGTGTTCTTAGAATAAAAATGCTCTATTGGACCCATCCTCGATACTCCAGGGTTTACAATCTCTACATCCCTGCAGTAAGATGTCATAGCAAATGATTGGTCTCAGGTAAAATAACTGACCAATCGCTAGGCTGATACTGACCTGTCCTTTGAAGATTATAGAGGCAATCTGATGTACATAAAAGGATCAAACTCTTTTTCTTGTCTCATTCACAAGGTGGCGACACTGAGCCTTCAGTTATGCTATGACATATTCCATGGATGCAGGGCGAAAGTGAGCGTAACCCCTAAGTATGGAGTATGTATGGGACCAAACCCCGATTCAAACCCTCAACCTGTGGTCATTATACTGTCACTCTGATCAAGAGAGCTACCTGGTCCACAATAGTACCCAGGACCATTATCACAGTTATATCCAAAACTTAATGAAACAGGAAAGAGAATAGTGTGCTTCCACTGGGGATCAAACACACAATCCCTAGGTTCCTAGTCCGACGCTCTACCACTGAGCTAAAGAAAAATTCCCTCTAGCTCGAAGCTTAAAGAGCAAGGCGACCGTAATCCTATGTACAAATAATATCTGCCACACTACTCCCCCTTTTTTAAATGTGTTCGCCCTCAAACACCACAACCCAGGCTCTAACTCCCTGTCACCACAGGGAGGGCCACGGACACCACTTGTAACTGGAAAGAGAGTAGTGGGCTTCCATCAGGGATTGAACCTGCAATCCCTAGGTTCCTAGCTAGTCAGACGCTCTACCACTGAGCTAAAGAAAAATTCCCTCTAGCTTGAAGCTTAAAGAGCAAGGCGACCGTAATCCTATGTACAATTAAAATCTGCCACACATGCACGAAAAATTACCATGGAACTCTCTATCATTTATAAGCCTGCAGTGGGACGGGGATCCTTCAGATAATAATTAATATTCAACTATTATCTATATCATATGAATTCACCAGGTTGAACAGATACATGTAGCAATAATTACCATCCTCTAGTCCATTACACTGTTGAGCATTTTCTGGGCCGTCACTCTCTGAACCCTCATCCTCCATCTTAATCACACATCTCTGAAAAGTCAGATTTTCTGAGGTGTTATTATAACTTAGAGGAATCTGTGAGTTATAATTCTGTCCAAGGAAGCTATTCCCTGATGTATTAGATGTCGCCGGGACATTCGGATCTCTGTCGCGAGGCTGTGTCGATGATGCTGTGTCAATTGGATCACCATCATAAGGGCATGTTAATGTCTCTGAGGTGTTTGGATTTCCATTAAAAGGATGTTTCAATGCCACTGATATGTTTGGATCTCCATTAAAAGGGTGTGTCGATGTTGCTGGGATGTTTGGGTCATCACACGGATTCGTAAAATGGTCCCACTCAGCTTTTATTTGGCGATAGATATTGTAGACACTCGGATCTTCTGTTGTTAATTTGTCGGCCATTTTGGATGGGTCTTGTAATGCTGATCGATCCGTCATTGCTGTTGGATCATCCATTGTGTTGAAACTGTTTTGTATTCAGATTATAATTCTGCAATATATTAAAGAAAATTCAGAAAATATATATGATGAACAATGCATTCAGGCATTTTCGTTGCTATTTTACTATCCATTTTGTTAAAAATGTTTTACACTCAAGATTACATCTGAAATACAGGATTTTTTTTACAGAACATAAGATAAAATATACATTTACCCAAACTTTAGGAATATTGTCCCTGAATGATAAAATAACAAGAGGGACTTAAATTAGCTTATTTACCATTCGTCGAAAAAAATAAAGCTTGACATGTTCACACATTTATTTTTGCACAACAATTTGTCCCGCAGAAAATATAAATCAGTTCATGGGTATGGGTATATGTTCTAAACTCACACCCTTACAAAACATCATATGCAGGTTTGTTCTGCTCAGACAGAATAGCATTTCTCACACCTCAGACAGAGATATCCCACGTCATACCCCATCCTAGATTATTCTATCTCGTCCGATCTGTCTTATAACTTTACATGACATTTTGCAGAATTTTTATACTGGGATGTATTCATCCGCGCATTAACTGCTTAAAATTGACAATTTGCATTATAAATGTTCTGTTTTGTCGTTATATGTATAGTTTTGATGTTGTTAGATATTTGATGTTGTAGATAAAATATAATCTACACTGTGAAATACGTTGAAATCTATGTAAGGACGGATCTGGACTACAGTTTTACGCGGAAGCATTCAAATGTAGCTTTAGTAGTGAAGAGATCATTATCATTTGAGGCCCAAGGCAGGGTACTTGTAGTTTTTAGAAAAATTAAATAGTTCTTTTCGAACTAAAAGGTGCGAGTTGTTTTTTTTACCTGTAACTGAACGAGATCGGGTAATCTCAGTTTCGGGCTAAGATTCTGTAACATCCCAACCTCTGCTTACGCCTCAGTTGGGATTTTGCTACAGAATCTTAACCCTCGACTGAGATTACCCGATCTAGCTCAGTTACAGGTAAAAGATTTTATTAAGGAAGAGGAATTTTACTGTATCCATCAAAATAATAAATGTTAAGTAAATACTGATAGATAATTAGCAATTGAATGTGAAAAACTTTGAAACTCCGAAATGGCGTGTGTTTTTTGGAGGAAACAGAGATCATGTCTGCGGAAAGAGAATACATTGTACGTGCATAGATCCAAAAATAGAGCGGTGTAAGTTCTCAAATTTTCAGGGCCTGTAGCATAAAGAACTGTTGTTTGCATGGTTTTAGTGTGTGCCGATCGTAGCCCTTTGATTATATATATATGTCTTCTGTTGTGGTACAGGATCTGTCGTAGTCGTATTGTGTACTCCTGTAACATTCTGGTCGGCCTTTTTTCTATCGGATATGATTTTACTGACTTAATTATCACTGCGTGCCTGTCAAAAGTATCTTGCCGTTTTGTAAACCTCTAACACTCTTGGAGTAAAGTATTGCGCTGATATTTACCTCATCATTGATAACATTGTGTGGGTCCTGTATACTAGTCCATTGTATTTAACAGGATTTTACTAGGATTTAATAAGGATACATGATGGACGCTGTCTATTACCTGCCTGTATGTCCATATCATATAAGTTGAAATTGAAAATTTAAGAATCACTAGTCTACCTTAAATGTAGATTTGCAGATAGCTCGCAGTTAGGCTATTAAATTTCAGTTAAAGGTGGTTTAAATGATTGTCTAAACTACACTAATTCCAATGGTCAGTACACAAATAGTGCGGGAAGCTATATATTACATAGCTGTAACACCAAATGTGAACATTTGGGTTGACAAACACTAGAGTAATCTCCCCTGAGTAAGGGTCTGAGCAGTATAGCCTGCATGACGGCCGCCTCAGGAGGACTGTACATGTTAATTCCATAAATCAACAGTTCTGTATAGCCAAATGAATGTTTACTAATATCTAATGCACAATATTTTTAATACTTTTCGGGTGTATGCCTTGTTATTCTGGATTTTGAATTGTGATCAAAGATGCCAGCAGTAACGTTAACTTTGTTGCCATGTAAATGGTTCATAATTGCATTGTGTATACTGTATATATACATGCAAGTGTGTTTACTGCTGAATGCGTAGGGTGGACATGTAGTATGTAAGTTTCGGTTAATGACAATTTGTATGCAGTTTTAATTAGGTACCATTGTAGGGTAGCAAGTTTCGTGATATTTGAAATTGTCTCGACTTTCGATATTAAATTAGCAGTAATTAATTCAAATAAAATTATATGAATTTTATATTAAAAAAACATAATATAAATAAGTGTCAAGCCTTATGATAATATTAAACAATTATGCAATTGATGTCTCATGAGCTAATAATGTTCCATGTTGATATGTATGCGACTCTAAATAAAGCTTCTTGTATCTTGTTGTACCTAAATCAATCATCAATGGGATTAAGATGCCAGTCATATGTAGAATATATCTATTGTCTATTTTGGTTCCAATTCCTTCAATGAGGGCCCGAGTGCGTCGATAAGATCAAGCGGAAAAGGAAAATATTTGATTCTGCTACATACCATATAATAAAGGTACTGCCGATTGACAGGAAATGGCTGTCAAACACTTTCCAAATCCGTTAAGAATTGTGCCGGCAGACGTGTTGGTAAATCGGCCATTTTGAATGATATAATAATACTAAATGACGCGCAGGACATTCGCTAAACCCGCGGAACGCCAAGAGATACATTGAAAATTACACCCATATTTTTTGTCAAATTTAGTGTGTGTGTTTTTTTCTGCATATTTTGATATCCTGCTGTGTTTATTTTATTTCACTTTTAAAATATTTTAACTGCTCTTCACAACATAGGACCATAGTTTAACCAGGGACGTATATACTGTCCCTGGTTTAACATTAGGGCTTGTTATCGCACTACATTGGCTATATATTGACACACTATGAATAGTCATTGAAAATTTTACTCCATTTACATACAAGTGTATTAATGATGTACTCTTCTGAGGTTTCAATCACGTTCAAGTCTCGTTTTGATCTGATGTAAAGGTTTTTTGTAATATTTCACAAATTATAATCTAGTTTCATAGGAAAGACGCATCTGAAAAATATTTCAATAAACTAGATGCAAGATGTTTGTAAAACAGTTTTTACAAGAATTAAAAAAAAAAATGGCGGCCATTTTGAAAATGTGTATTAATGTGTATTTCTTGCGCTTCACAAAAGGACAAAATTTCACCTTTTTTGACACTATATTGATCACTTAAATTGTCTTTGTCGCCATTTTAAGTTGTAGCAGGTTCAATTTTGCTGCACAACTCTATAATGTTCAATATGATAAAAATAGTATGCAATAAAGTGGAAAATTATTCATTATTGGTATTATTTTTACATATTTAGTGTCAATGAAACACTTTTGATTTTTGACCCCAAAAAAGGTGAAAAACAACACATATAATAAGGGGACAAAAAAAAGAAGCACACATACCCCCGTTTTTTTGTGGCTGTTTTAGAAAGAGAAACACATTTTCTTTTGATTCATTAAATATTAAAAAAGTTTAATAGCAGAACTTTTTGTATCAAGCGTTTAATCTGCAAAAATTGGTGAAAAATGAGATTTTTTTCATTAAAGAATAAGGGGTAGGGGTAACTTAAATCGCCTTTCCGAGTTAAAAGAATAAGATTAAGAAAATTAACTTCATTTATTTAAAAGAAAATAATATTTTTATCAATTCTACAAACATTCATACATATTTGATAACACACTTGGAAGTAATTGTATGAATTTGTTCTGCAAATGGTCAAAACCAAAAAAATCACCTAAAATTATATATTGTGTTAAATTCATATCTTTGACCAATCATAGCACAAAAACGAGCACACAGACCTATACATATTTTTGCATTTTCTACGTTATGCCACAAACTCTTTTTTCCAAAAATCCATATAAGAAAAAAAGTTTAATACAGGAATTGTTTGACTTCTCAGGTGTACATCCTTAAAGACTTTTAATTAAATGTGACGGAGTAACTATATATTAAAAGTCTTTTAAACAACACATGTATAAAGCAATGAAGACTTCAGCCATGATATCCAAAAGCAATGTCATTCATTTGAGGAAGCTTTAGTTGTATTTGATAGCCCTTCAACCAAAATTTCTTGATCCTATAAGTAGCCATCTTACTTATTTAGATGCCGACGTCTTCATTTCAGTTTTAACCTTTAACTATGACAGATTCTGCAGTCGTAGGATATGTGTCCCCATTATACAAAAATATGCATCTTATTGAGTTTATAGTTGTCGATATTAACTTGACCCAAAACATGCAGTTATATGTATTAAACCCATATGACATTGAGAAAAGGTCAATTTCATTTATTTAAACAGACTTAAAGTGCCCGTAGTATATCCCAGAATGCTACTGATTAATGATTACAGTGGCGGATCCAGAGGGTTTTTTTGGGCTTCAGGAAACATTTTCCTCAATTTTTCCCCACTTGGAAATACACTTTTACAATTTACACTTTGACCTCTGTGACCTTAAAGGTACATTGTAGGTCTATACCATTCAGTTGACTTGATAGCCCTGGATCCCAGCATGCAACAGGCCAAATATGAAGACCATATATAGATTCTTTGCTACTTTGTTTTTTTAAAAGGCTATTCCTGCGACCCTGAAAGTAGGTCAATGTCATTCATTTAATAAGTTATATGCTCATCCTTTAACCATGCAAGCCAGGAAACATGATTCTTTGCATGTTGAATCAAAATCAAAGGACTGAAAGTACTAAAGGGTTAAAACCAGAATTGTATCAAAATGCAGTCTAGTCTTCACATTATTTTATGACCCAAGTAAATGAACCTTTACTGATCCATTAATTTGGTAGTAGTATTTAACATGAACACAATTTGTATAGTTTTTGAGTTTTGCATTGGCGACATTAGTTTGACCTCAAACATATAAGTGTGTAAGCCATATGACATTAAAAGAGATTCAAGATAATGGATTTGAGCAAAGGTGCCATTGGTAGCCCATCATTCAAACCTTTAACCCTTTCAACACTTTAGATCATAATGGACTCGTCCAGATCAATGCAAGGTAGAGTCTACTGAAGTTACATAGGGGTGAAAGGGTTAAATCACAAGATTTATACAATCATTTTGTAACTTGACGATACTCCTTAAATTGCCTTTAAAGCAGCTGCATTTGATCACAGTTTAACATTTATCATGGACTCCAGGGACTATGCTTCAATCACTGAACTAGTGAAGTGTCTGTATATCCAATGGTGAAATACTGGGAGAAACATTGCATTTTGTGGTTCACTTTATCCCTAGGTAGTGACAAACTTTGGGCGCTCAGCTGAAACTATACTGCTAGTAGTGGTATAGAGTTGCACTTGCCTTTTATTTCTGTTATTTTGTTGAAAATGAGGAAAGTTATAGAGTTGTATCCCCATCAAACCCACCAAGACGGTTCAGTCAGCTACTTTATATTATTCCCCTGATTAGGAATTACCAGGTAGGTCTCGGATTCAAATACTAATTTACCTGGCCTTTTTCCATGTGTTGAACCAATCTAGTCACCACAGCTTATAGTGGCTAGGGCCCCTTTCACATATCTGGTTCAACCAGTTGAAACGGTCACCCCGAAAGAAAACGACCGGTGCAAATCTGGACCGAGGCTGACCTCATTAACATTCGACACATTTAGGGTTTTTCCACTATACGCCACGTGTAGATTGAGGGATCAATATGTGCCTAACCGAAAGTTAAATGCTGTCTATTGCTAGTTTGCGTTATTTCTTTATAAAACAATGTTGATGTACATGCAGAGTTTAATATAAGCGATATAGTTTAGTGGACTGTGAAAGAAGGAAATATTATTCGTGATATATTGTTATTTATTCTCTGAAACTGCATTTTAAAGCTCTGCCTACAGTTTTGTCCAAGCTAGTGCATTCATTTAATGTGGAATATTTCTGCACCACCTGAGCCGATTCAATCGTGATATATGAATCTGAACCCGGTGTTAAATCAAGGGAAGGTAACCGCACAAATATTAGTGGACCTCATTATAATTAATAACAATGATCTAGCTAGAATAAGCCACTCTAAAGCTCCTCACAGTACATAGATATACAATAACTACAATTAGCATATACATTAATCAATATAATTTTGAGGAATTCGCAGGAGCTGCCTTAACAGGCACTAACTACTAGTCATATGCCACCTGGCTAATATCTCCCTATTAATGTCTGCATGTGTGCCGAGATGTATTGTGTTCTGTTTGAAGTGGGACCGTGCTTCCAACAGTATCATTTATAGTGCCACCTCACTCGATTGCTACAGCACAAATACCACAACATCCACCCCAGACCATTTTATACTCCACCTGGGTTATTGGAGTTGTGTGGGCAGGAGAAAAAAAATTTCTCTGAATATTCCATGTGTACAATGACTTCAGGGATCGAACCCTGGCCGTCTGCGTGAAAGGCAGGAGTGCTTATAACCACTCGACCAATCCGCCCATAAGAAAGAAACACAAAGAAACATTTTGCAATTACTTCTATTTTTTATTGTATTTTTGCATGATTTTTAACCAACATCAGCCTCATAATAAAGTGCAGTGCAGTGCAAAAGAAAACAAAAAAGGTCAAAAGATAGTGTTGCACATAAAACTTATGATACAACAAAACAAAAAAGTGACAGAAACAATTCTGGTTCCCGGCCAGAGATTTGCACTACACTGAATTGAGGTCAAAAGGTTTCCATGGCTGCTTGCTCAAAAGCAGGCAATACATCTCCCTATAGGTCAAAAGTTCAAATATGAAATTCTGAAAAATATTTTACAGTCGTTACCATAGTAACGCAACATCAGCAAATTGCAAAAGTAATCATTTATGATGTCAAATAGTTGGCATATTTTTTGCATTGAAAACAATATTTGAAACATTTCGTAAGTTGAATGCCTGATAGATATGAAGTAAAATTGAATTGGACACTTGGAGATATCAATTATCTGAATATAGTTCGTTTTACTGTGAGTAACCAGTAAGACGAATATTACCTGAAATTCTTTTCCAGTTATTCTTTTTCAGTTCAAGACAGATACTTGAGCTAGTATGGATGGTGTTATCAAGTAATGGAAATTCAATTGACTACAGGAAATTGAAGGTAGGCTTGTTCTTGAAATTGATTGAATGTCAATTAAAAACAATTTATTTCAATATACACTGTTTGTTAAATCTATACTCCTGATTTTTATCCTATAGAATGAATACATCAGACTTGAGAAATGCATCAGAAAACCCGAACAAGGATTGTTTCAAGTTCAATGAATGCATTTGTTTTATTGGGTATACTAAGGATGCAGAAATAAACTATCTAATAATTGTGTATACCCCAGCTGTTTCAGAAGTGAGAAACTGCAGTAGAGCCATTGAAATATTACACTGATCAGCTCAACTGAAAACAGAAATGAAATGGGGGCAATTTAGTATCACAAAAAATCATTGGAAAGGAAATCAGTGCAAGGAAATTATTGAGTGAAAAAATATCATGAACAAATATAGGAATTATCTTCTCTTGAACTACCTGTTCAAATAGAAAATGTTCTGCAATAATTAACATACAACAGTTTCGCACACGTAACCAAAGTACTCACAGTCGATCACACACCATTCAAATTTAAATCTTCATTCTAACCATACTTGCCCATCCCTGCACTCTCTTCTGTTCACATTTCCCTGAACCAAAGTAGTTAATGTGTACAAATATTTGTGAGCTAACCTAATTACTAAATTCCCTGAACTAAAGAACACTATATCCCTGAACTCAAGTATACTACATCCCTGGACTTAAGAACACTATATCCCTGAACTTAAGTATACTACATCCCTGAACTAAAGAATGCTATATCCCTGAAACAATGTGTACAACATCCCTGGACTAAAGAACACTATATCCCTGCAACAATGTGTACTAGATCCCTGAACTAACATATACTGCCTCCCTGAACTAAAGAATGCTATATCCCTGAAACAATAACCATTTTCCAACACAAGAAAATGTTATTTCCCTGAATCAAGGAATGCCATTTCCTTGATCCAAAGAATGTTATTTCCCTGAACAAAAAAATCCCCCGAGATAGTAAATAGCATATCCCAAACCGTTCAATACTTCTGCCTGCAATCAGTAAATACCATTTCCTGAAGACCTGTCATCATCTTTTTTCTAATATGACCATATCTGTCTCGGCAACACCAATAACTCAAATCAGCCAATAACCTTACTGTGAACCATTATAAATGTTTCCCTGAACCAGTCAATAAAAGAATTTCAAACAACCTTTCCCAAAGTAGAAATAGAAATGTAGTCCTACTAAGTTCCTTTTACGATAAATGTACCTTTTTCCATTCCGTATTTAACAAGCAAACCTTAAAACGGAGTTTAATTCCTAACTTACAAAGTTTGTAAAAACCCACACACTTTCACTCAAACCTCTTACATTTCCCAAACACCTCTCACCTGAAAACACTTTTTTTCTCATCTGGTATTTGAAAAATATTGTAAAAATATTTTTATCACTTTTTTTCTGGGAACTTTTACACTTTTCCAAGAAAACATAATATAATACTGAAATGTTCAGTTTCCATTCAATGTATCAGAATGAATTAAGAATTTTCTGGAAATGTTATCAACTTTACCAGACATCACAATACTTCCTCACTATCAAACCTCCTTGCCTATCTCTCTACAACACTTCCTCACTATCAAACCTTGCCTTTCTCTCTGAAGAATATACACAACTCAGCCTTTACAAACTAGTCATCTTGCCAATTGACATGTGCAACCCATCCCAATAATAGCCCATTACCTCACAAATTATACCATACTAAACCATAACAACCCAGTAACCACTTGTAACAACCCCAAAAACATAACCCTATGAATCAGTTAACCCCAAACAACCCTGTAAGCAGGCCTAGAACATCAAGCCTTGGCCGTGAACATTGTTACACCCACCAGCCATATGTCAGAAACAATGTTATATCAAAACATACATACCCATAATAACCCTATAGCATAGTGTTACCCTTACAACCCTATAGCATAGTGTTACCCTTACAGCCATATAACATAGTGTTACCCTTACAGCCCTATAGCATAGTGTTACCCTTACAACCCTATAGCACAGTGTTACCCACAACAACCCTATAGCATAGTGTTACCCTTACAGCCCCAGACATGATATATAATACTACCCATAACAACCCTATAGCATAGTGTTACCCTTACAACCCTATAGCATAGTTACCCTTACAGCCCCATAGCATAGTGTTACCCTTACAGCCCTATAGCATAGTGTTACCCTTACAACCCTATAGCATAGTTTTACCCTTACAACCCTAAAGCATAGTGTTACCCTTACAGCCATATAGCATAGTGTTACCCTTACAACCCTATATCATAGTGTTACCCTTACAACCCTATAGCATAGTGTTACCCTTACAACCCTATAGCATAGTGTTACCCTTACAACCCTATAGCATAGTGTTACCCTTACAACCCTATAGCATAGTGTTACCCTTACAACCCTATAGCATAGTGTTACCCTTACAACCCTATAGCATAGTGTTACCCTTACAACCCTATAGCATAGTGTTACCCTTACAACCCTATAGCATAGTGTTACCCTTACAACCCTATAGCATAGTGTTACCCTTACAACCCTATAGCATAGTGTTACCCTTACAACCCTATAGCATAGTGTTACCCTTACAACCCTATAGCATAGTGTTACCCTTACAGCCCTATAGCATAGTGTTACCCTTACAACCCTATAGCATAGTGTTACCCTTACAACCCTATAGCATAGTGTTACCCTTACAACCCTATAGCATAGTGTTACCCTTACAACCCTATAGCATAGTGTTACCCTTACAACCCTATAGCATAGTGTTACCCTTACAACCCTATAGCATAGTGTTACCCTTACAACCCTATAGCATAGTGTTACCCTTACAACCCTATAGCATAGTGTTACCCTTACAACCCTATAGCATAGTGTTACCCTTACAACCCTATAGCATAGTGTTACCCTTACAACCCTATAGCATAGTGTTACCCTTACAACCCTATAGCATAGTGTTACCCTTACAACCCTATAGCATAGTGTTACCCTTACAACCCTATAGCATAGTGTTACCCTTACAACCCTATAGCATAGTGTTACCCTTACAACCCTATAGCATAGTGTTACCCTTACAACCCTATAGCATAGTGTTACACTTACAACCCTATATCATAGTGTTACCTTTCCAGCCCTATAGCATAGTGTTACCCTTACAGCCCTAAAGCACAGTGTTACCCTTACATCCCCAGACATGAAATATAATACTACCCTTACTAACCTATATGTTGTGGTACTAAAAACACACGAGCCATTCAAATCAATATGTCTCGCCTGTGACACGCTTTGACCATCAATGAACATATCAGAGAAACAAACTTAAATGCAAAAACTTACTAAGGTTGATGGAGATGCTGGCCCATGAAAGGTAGGCTAGATCCAGCATGAGATGCTGACAAAGTCAATGGCCCATGAAAGGTAGGCTAGATCCAGCATGAGATGCTGACAAAGTCAATGGCCCATGAAAGGTAGGCTAGATCCAGCATGAGATGCTGACAAAGTCAATGGCCCTTGAAAGGTAGGCTAGATCCAGCATTTACACATATTGTTACCCCTAACTACCCCGATTTCATGAACAACCTTATTATATTGTTGGCCCATCAACCCTTTAACTAATGATTTGTAATAAAACCACCAACCCTTCCCTCGTCCCCAACTATATAACATGTAGCAGGCTCGATATCCTCATTATCCACAAGTCAAACTAACCCAAGGTCACCTTATGCATAGAGAAATTTCTCTCTCATTCTCACTTTGCATAAAGAACAATGTAATTCATAAGACCATAGCAACCAGTTCCATGTTACCATGGCAACAATAAATAGTACCATGGCAATTCAATGTGTTTACATAGCAACAATGAAAAGAATGACACCCATGTCAGTTACCATGGCAATAATACATAAAACGATACCTAAATCAGTTACCATGGCAACTATATCCTCATCACAATGACACAAACATGTGTTGTCATGGCAACTAATCAATATCATAACAGCTGTGTTTATGACTTGGCAATCGGAAGCCTCTTTGGTTACATTATATGAAAGGCACTGTAGTAGTAAAACAGATATCAACATTTGGAAAACAGACTTTTGAGTACAAGAATAAAATAAATTTGGATACAACAGCGAGATATACAAAAGTATCTCCAGATTAAAATGTTAAAATCCTTGTTAGATCGAAAAGAAATATGAATTAGTGGTTATTCCATAATTTTAATAAATTGAAGTTTCCAATTGCTTATTGTTCATCACAAGACAACTTTCATATGATGTTTCCATTTTTTGAACAGGTCAAATTTTACAAATTAGCCGTAGTGATTTGATTTACATCTCCTTGAACTAAAATGTTTTGGGAAACATTTCTTTTAATTTAAAAAATAACATTAGCGACAAAATAAAGGGTCAAACTAACAAGGCTTTTAACATTTCTTACAGCATGTTCATCTACAAGATCATAAATATACACAGAAAGACACATTTTATAAAATAGAAAATACCACTTAAATGTACCAAATCCTAATCACAAACAAATCAATTTCAATTCTACATAAATATTGATATAAAAGGAAACAGATTGATATCTGGTAAATTGTTTTAAAAAGATTGATGTCTTGCACTTTGAGTGAAGACAGAAAAAAGTCTGTTTTCCAAAATGTACACGAAACTATGACATTATGTCTATTCTGGTAAAATTTGTTGAGATTAAAAAAGAGTAGAAAGCTTAAAGAACCACCATATACAAAAAAGAAGCAGCTAGCCCCATAGGTAAAATGTTAGGAGTAAAACCGGCGTTTTCTCTGATAGAGATCCACCATACATCTGAAGACAATTGGTGCCAGAGGCTAAGAGTACCTTTTCCACCTCTTAATATATATTATCATTAAATTTCAAAATTAAAGGATTTTAAGAAATGTATCCTTTTTTAATATCTCTTTCTAGACACAAAATACTTGACTACTACCAGAGTACTTTCCTCTTACCCTCAGTTAAATAATTTTCAGATATTGTAGATTCACCAAACATCACAGGATTATCAACTGGAAGCTAGGGCAAATCTGTATTGCATTATATTTTCAGGTTTGAATCTGTCTTTTAATTTCATTACCTGAAAATATAGAAATGTTCCAAAAGGAAAAAATTGGGTTTGTTTATGTTTTACGTCCTATTAAAAGTTATGGTCATTAAGTATGTGTCAGGTTTTGGTGGGGGAGGAAAACAGGAGTGCTTGAAGAAAATACACCGAACTGCAGCCAGTACCTGGAAACTGCCCCAGGTAGGCCTTGAATCGGCTGACCCAGTAGTGGAGCACTAGTGATTGTAGACAGTAAGATGCCTTAAAAATATGATAAATTATACAGCATGTTGAAAAGGAAAGTAGCCTGGTAGAGTTTATTTTTAAAGACCAATTGTCTTCTGTTTTGGAGGGGGGAATTTAAACGAGATGTACCACCAGTAATCTTGACCTCAAAGCCCTTGAAAAAAAATGGATGAAAAGTCTACAAAGTTCTTAACTTGAAAAGCACAAGCAAGAAATCATAGCTGTAAGTATGTCTACCATTGATAAAATTTGAATCAAACATTTTATAAAGTAACTTGATTAGAATTAAAATATCATCTCAGAATGACAATAAATAAGTTTCAAATTGTACTACAAATCTTTCAGACTACATTAAAATGATTGGCGCTGATGAGGCCAACAGAGTATGCTTAAAGCGTTCAAAAGACAAAGACTACATCACAGAACAACGGCAGTTCATATAACATTGCACAATAATCAAACAGTCACATGACACTGATCGACAATCAAGAGTTTAATCTTTATATTGTGGCTGTGTATTTTGCAAAACAGCTTTAATCAGATACAGGTAAAATCAAATTTGTATTGCATATCATATATGTAATTGAGAAACAACAAATTAAATTCTGTAAAAATCCTATGGAAAAATAATGATTGAAGGATTTGTTTTCATTCACCCGTTTCAAGCCATATCGAATAAAACATATTTTGGAGGTCTTAAAAGTGACTGAATCTTTCCGAATCATTTCAGTTGCTCTTCCTGCGAGAATAAATAAAAAGATAAATAGGGAACTCTAACTTAATTTATCTAATAATCACTTTAGTTAAAAATACAGACTTTTCAATAAGAATCTTAATTAATGCATATCAGTTTTAAATATAAATGTTATTTTGGTCATGTCAGGCTTAAAACTGATTGAAATCTTTTATTTTTTAAATTATTTTCTAAAATTTATCATTCTTCTTTTTACAACACTTAAGTTTAATCAAAATTGTCTTTTATTTGATTAATTTTAGAAAAGAACTTTTATCTATCTAAAATATAATTATCAAACTTTGTATTTCAACAATACCGGGTAAGTATTTCCTAGGCAATTGTTAAATAAAAATTCTGCAGAAGTAAACTCAATCTTATATATTCTTTCTAAAAGTGACGCATCATATGAGAAATTTGAATCATTAAATAATTAATTAAGATTAAATTCAGTTATGTGATTCTTTGTATCATTTCATACAAAGCATAAAAGTAGTGAGCCTGTTTACCTGCCCAGAATCAAGTGAAATTAATATTTGATATTTACTAAAATATATTGATTACATGAAAAGGTACAAAAAATAAACGGGAAAAATATGTGACATGCGAAGTGCAAATTGAGGCAAAACAAAAATTAAACAAAATAAACTGAAGAAAGAAAATTATTAACACAAAATGACAAACAATTTCACAAGAATGAGAAAAAAAGAATAGCAATACTGTAAATTTAATGTTTCCTACTAATTTTGGTTGCATATACAAGATCGCAGTTGCTGGTGAAATTTATGGTACTATCTGGTATATTATTATTTTATTTATCAGAATTAGAGAATAAAAGAAAATAGAAATTCATACGAGTATTTGACAGAACAGGACAAATCCAACACAAGGTAACACTATTTTATTTAACCCTTTCAACACTTTAGACTATAATGGACTCATCCATATCAACTCATGGTAGAGGCTATTAAAGTTACATAGGGGTGAAAGGGTTAAGTGCTGGTTACCAGCAACTCTTCTATCTAGGGAAATAGGTGCAATTTATTTCAAAACATCTTGTAGCTTAGTAAAACACAGTAAATTACAATTGTGATGCAAAAAAGGAACAGAACATTTACAAATAACACGATGAATTTGGTGAACATGAATGGACAATGTAAATGAAAATTACAAAATCAATTGAATGGAAAAATAACTGAAAAATATACAAATTGTAATATGAAGTAGAAAATTAATTAAATGACAATATTTGCACAATTTAAATGATGAAAAAAGAGACAGAAGGATGATTAAACTAAAGACAGGTTAGACAAATATGCGTAAATATCAAAAAAGTTCCTGATCAATAATAGGAAGTTCACAAGGAAATAAAACGAGTCGCAAATTATTTGCATTTGTAAACAAAAATATTAGCACTTTGTACAACAATACAAAAAATCATATGAATCAAACTACATGTAATAATTAATAATTATCAAACCATAAAAATTACCATCAAATAAAAATGTACAATAGCAAATAAACATGGACAGTTACCTCTGTCCCTATATATAACCAATGCACACGCGAAATGACTGAACATCATCCGCGTCCCAAACACCGCCAGAGGAGAAGCAGTGCCTAAAAGAATTTCTGTTCTTTTCAAAGCAAACTAAAAATCATTTAGTTATATTCATAAGAATTTTTATAATACACTGTAATATGTTGAAATTAATCATTTTTATGAAAAATCCCACTGAATTAATAATTATTTTATAACTTTTATCCTCTGATCTAGAGTTACCTCCCCTTGACTAGGTCTTTCAAAAACAATATTTATGTCATTCTTTTTTTTTATAACTTTGGTCACTTCTGAGCTTCTATCATCGTTTAATGATTTACCTTCTAGATAAATCAAGTCTATTCTTTTAACCATTATTTTTCTGAAGCATACTTACAACACTGCAAACACTATCTCATTACACCCCTACATATCTAAACTGGACTGGCCCAGTCTTTGATTTGGTAAGGTTCAAATGTGACTTCAGGGGTTAAACAAATAATCTGGATGGTTATATCCGACAGTAATTAAGTAATAATGAAATGACTTAGCCAGCAAAAACAACTATATAGTTAGCACTATACAAAAATATATATGGTCCAAATTCTATTCCTTAGAATATATATAACAATTATTTTCCCCTTTTTTCATTCTACATCAACAGCTCCAATAGTCTTCAATTTAGCACTTCCGGAGTTGTCTCCCATTGAGCTGTGATTCAACAAATGTAAGTTTAGTTTCTTTTCACATTTGAAAAGGAGTCTTGGAGGGTTGTCTATATGAAATCTGGAGTGACCTCCCTTATATTCTCATCCTGCTCCCTAAAATTAACGACTTGAGCACTGAGTTATCTTAGCACCTCATATCATCACACAGAACAAGTTTCTTCAAGGCGCAAAAAACAAAGAAACATCTTTTCCTTCGTCCTTTTAAAGATCCTGTCCAAAAATAGCACGTTTCCCCATTGGTCCTGATTACGTTCCTATATCCCATTTCCTCCTGTATTCGAGCTACATGCTGTCAAGGAAATAGTCTCATGATTAGATTTTTCTTGTAAATTAACTCATTCACCCCTGACATTTCATAATTAACTATTCCAAACTTTGAACTGGAAGAGCTCAAATCAGTCTTCAGGGGCGAGTGAGTAGATAATTCAGACAGATTACAAACAATTTCGGGGAAACTCCAAAGCATAACAAAAAAGAATCTGCTAAAATCAACATGAACAGCTGTCCAGTTTGTCCCCTATGTTAAGTATATACAAATTAGCAGGATGAACAATGTGTATGCAGATATTGATTTTACAGAAGGTAAATCACAAGGAAGCATGAGATATTAAGACCCCTGACTTTTTCACTGAAGGTAAATCACAATGGATTATCATGAATTTTTGGACATCTGAGTTTTTGACCGGGGGTATATCACTAAGTGGTATCATGAAATGTTATGACACATGATTTTTTTTACACAGGGTGAATCAAAATAAAGTACCATGAAAATTTGTTAACACACTCACGTTTTTGATTGGGATTAAACTAAAACGTATCATGAAATGTTACGACACATAGATGTTTTACCGCAGGTAAATCACAACGAATTATGAAATGTTACGACACACAAATGTTTTACCTCGGGTAAATCACCACATATCATGAAATGTTACGACACATAGATGTTTTACCGCGGGTAAATCGAAACGTATCATGAAATGTTACGACACACAGATGTTTTACCGCAGGTAAATCGAAACGTATCATGAAATGTTTCGACACACAGATGTTTTACCTCGGGTAAATCACAACTTATTATGAAATGTTACGACAGACAGGATAAATTACCTGAGAGCTCCAGCAGCAGCCAGATTGGTCGTCTTGGTATTGCGCGTAACGGGTTTGTGGTGTCGCAGGGCGTCGAGCGCGTGCTGCCAGTACCAGCAGGTACGACAGAAGTACTTGAAGCACTGCATGTCCCGACAGAAGTAGGGGCCCTGCTGTACGGCACACATACTACACATAGAGTCCTCCAGGTACGGGTCAATCTGGATCTGTAACAGACAGTCAGCAGTAGTGTGGACAGAATCTTTCCCAAAAATACCATCATAAATGAGGGAATTATTGTGGCATAGAAATGTACAGGTTTTTCGCATCTATTAAATTGGTACAAAATATCCACAGGTGACATATATATAGATTATATGTATTATACAGTAGTACCCCGGTATACAGCCCCCAGTTCTATTGCCAACCCCGCATACCGCCATTATTTTGCTAAAAAGTTTTCCCCTACTTTTTAAAACCCATCTGATACCGCCAATTCCCCCCATAACGCTATCCACCATTTTCAAATACCAAACTGTTTGATCCCCGCCCATATTACCGTTGTTTACGTTTTATCTGTACATCATATGCCTGTCCACACACAAGAATTTCCATTTTTGCTGACAAAATTCCAATCAAGTGATTCTTGCAAAGCTTCTTAAAGATACAAATCTGTCTAACAAGGCACCTTTTGTGACTGACAAGATATCGTTTTACAGTGGAATATCCAAGATGGCGGACATTTGTGAACAGGGGGGATACTCCCAATTAAGCCCCTCCCTTCTTTTGGTGTATGTTTTTTCAATGGGGTCGGGGCTTGCTTAATTGTGATCAAATATGGTATTAGACAAGATGACTTTTGACAGTTAAAATATAATCAAAAGACTTACAATCTATTAATGCTAAGAATGTTAAACTGAAAACCACACAATTCAATTTAATGTACAGTACTTAAACTGTACCTTTGTTACATAACCAAGTGTTTCATGATAAAGCTTTTTAAAGACAGGTTTTACCTTTTTTGTAAACTTTGGAGTCTTAATCTCCACAAATGCTGCCCCAACCGCCTTCATGTAGCTCTTCTTGCTGCTGAAGGTCACCCGCCCACTTCCTGTTGGGGAAACAAAGGTCATGGCAGGACATTATGGACAAAGGTCAAGGTAAAGGTTGAGGGAAAGAGGTCATGGACTTAATGATGAATACAAATATTAATCTAGGGGTTTGATATTGTACAAAAGAGTCAAAAGTAAATTGACAAAGGTCTAGGTAAGACAAGACAGACAATGGCTTCAACTTTGAGGGTTATAACTGAATGTGTCACAAGAAGTCGGTAGTCTATGTATATGTTTTTCCTAAACATGTTTTATCCATTAAATCACTTCTCAAAGGAATTATAAATGTCTTTTTAGTGTTTTCAATAAGTTTTAAAACTTTTGGTTGGCTTGAAAAGCATTTATTAATAGTCGGACCGGTTGAAAGTTAACATGCAATAATGTTAATCTGTACATATTCTTGAAAAATGGCCAGTTCAAAGCTGACAAATAGTGGGCTAATTTTGCCAGCAACCAGCTTTTAATGACACACTGATTACACCAAATTGCTGCAAAATTTGTCAGGGCTTCAGAAAAGCATTATGAATTCACCACAAGAGAACAAATAGCTTTCATTGTACATTGCGAAACTGAATTTCCTTTCAGTAGTGAAAATTTTTGAAACCTTTGAAAATGTCACTTTATTAATTATCTTCCCAATTTTCCAAATGGGAAAGGTATTCCCAGTTACCTAAGAAAAAGGGGAAGAAAGCACTGATGACATTATGGATAAGATATTGGATGAGGCCGAGAAAAAAATCTCACCAATGGGATATTTGTGTTTGTCCGTGTCAATTCCAGCATAGACCACGTTTCCAAACAGGTCATTCATAATGTTGGCCAGTGACTCAGCAGTCATCATACCATGGAGGGCACCAACAAATATTGTCTTGTTCGAGTCAAGTCTCTGAGAAGCTTGACGCACGTAATTGCTGTCTCCCTGGATCCAAGGGATCACTTGTACCTGATGGGATTGAAACGACTGTTCATTTAATTTAAGGACAAAGTTATACAGGTAAAACTGGTCACTGTATAATTGTGTATTGTGTTAAAATGAACATAATTGACACAACATTGTAATAAGTCTAAAATCAAACACTGTAACATATGGACACCTATTTAAAACTTTCCTATCCTTCGACCATGGCTTGTTAACTTCAGTTTGAACATTTAATCAGCAAAAATGCCTGAATGCCTAAAAGAGAGTTGGAACAGGAAGTGCCCGGAGATTATACATTAACTCGTGTAAATCATCTGGAGGAATATGAAACCAATATTGTTTTTACACTAAAAACTTTGATGAAGTTTACGAACTGTAGACAAGAAAAAAAATACAGGAACTTAACTAGAACACCCGACAGGTCAGCAGGGACCTGCCTTGTGCCTCAACGTAGCTCTCCATAGCTCTATTTTCATTAACAATGACCTTGACCTTAGGCGTTTGTTAATCGTCCTTGTGCACATCCACATATCATTGGGTGATCACCATGTCAAATTTCAGAAATAATTTCAGGATTCCGACATAATCAAAAGCTGTATCCTGCATGGTCCGTTCTTATTTGTATTTTGTATTGTTTTACGGCCCATAGAAACTTTAATAACAATGACCTTGACCTTGACCTTTAAAAACCCCTTTTGCACATCTCCATATCACAGTATCACCAGTCACATTTAAAAGTAAAATGTCTTTTGGATTCTGAGTTCAATTCTGTAACAAACGTGTGGAAGGACTGATGGACAGACGGACATTCAGTGATTACTGTATAGCACCTTGGATGTGTGGGCACTAATAGATATTGGTTGGTGTATACATGTGGTTGAGTTGTATTGGTTGTAGTAGTGAAGGTGTTGGTTTGAGTGTAAATAATTTGTGTCACCTCCTTGGCTCTCATCCTGCGGCTGGAGATCTTGTAGTAGTAGTCTCCACTGCTAAAGTCGTGTGTGCAGTCCTGTAGCATTGATCGGATGGCCTTCTCCGACTCAAACAGCAAGTACACATACCCTGTATAACATAAACCATACATCTCTGACTCAAACAGCAAGTACACATACCCTGTATAACATAAACCATACATCTCCGACTCAAACAGCAAGTACACGTACCCTGTATAACATAAACCATACATCTCCGACTCAAACAGCAAGTACACGTACCCTGTATAACATAAACCATACATCTCCGACTCAAACAGCAAGTACACATACCCTGTATAACATAAACCATACATCTCCGACTCAAACAGCAAGTACACATACCCTGTATAACATAAACCATACATCTCCGACTCAAACAGCAAGTACACATACCCTGTATAACATAAACCATACATCTCCGACTCAAACAGCAAGTACACATACCCTGTATAACATAAACCATACATCTCCGACTCAAACAGCAAGTACACATACCCTGTATAACATAAACCATACATCTCCGACTCAAACAGCAAGTACACATACCCTGTATAACATAAACCATACATCTCCGACTCAAACAGCAAGTACACATACCCTGTATAACATAAACCATACATCTCCGACTCAAACAGCAAGTACACATACCCTGTATAACATAAACCATACATCTCCGACTCAAACAGCAAGTACACATACCCTGTATAACATAAACCATACATCTCCGACTCAAACAGCAAGTACACATACCCTGTATAACATAAACCATACATCTCCGACTCAAACAGCAAGTACACATACCCTGTATAACATAAACCATACATCTCCGACTCAAACAGCAAGTACACATACCCTGTATAACATAAACCATACATCTCCGACTCAAACAGCAAGTACACATACCCTGTATAACATAAACCATACATCTCCGACTCAAACAGCAAGTACACATACCCTGTATAACATAAACCATACATCTCCGACTCAAACAGCAAGTACACATACCCTGTATAACATAAACCATACATCTCCGACTCAAACAGCAAGTACACATACCCTGTATAACATAAACCATACATCTCCGACTCAAACAGCAAGTACACATACCCTGTATAACATAAACCATACATCTCCGACTCAAACAGCAAGTACACATACCCTGTATAACATAAACCATACATCTCCGACTCAAACAGCAAGTACACATACCCTGTATAACATAAACCATACATCTCCGACTCAAACAGCAAGTACACATACCCTGTATAACATAAACCATACATCTCCGACTCAAACAGCAAGTACACATACCCTGTATAACATAAACCATACATCTCCGACTCAAACAGCAAGTACACATACCCTGTATAACATAAACCATACATCTCCGACTCAAACAGCAAGTACACATACCCTGTATAACATAAACCATACATCTCCGACTCAAACAGCAAGTACACATACCCTGTATAACATAAACCATACATCTCCGACTCAAACAGCAAGTACACATACCCTGTATAACATAAACCATACATCTCCGACTCAAACAGCAAGTACACATACCCTGTATAACATAAACCATACATCTCCGACTCAAACAGCAAGTACACATACCCTGTATAACATAAACCATACATCTCCGACTCAAACAGCAAGTACACATACCCTGTATAACATAAACCATACATCTCCGACTCAAACAGCAAGTACACATACCCTGTATAACATAAACCATACATCTCCGACTCAAACAGCAAGTACACATACCCTGTATAACATAAACCATACATCTCCGACTCAAACAGCAAGTACACATACCCTGTATAACATAAACCATACATCTCCGACTCAAACAGCAAGTACACATACCCTGTATAACATAAACCATACATCTCCGACTCAAACAGCAAGTACACATACCCTGTATAACATAAACCATACATCTCCGACTCAAACAGCAAGTACACATACCCTGTATAACATAAACCATACATCTCCGACTCAAACAGCAAGTACACATACCCTGTATAACATAAACCATACATCTCCGACTCAAACAGCAAGTACACATACCCTGTATAACATAAACCATACATCTCCGACTCAAACAGCAAGTACACATACCCTGTATAACATAAACCATACATCTCCGACTCAAACAGCAAGTACACATACCCTGTATAACATAAACCATACATCTCCGACTCAAACAGCAAGTACACATACCCTGTATAACATAAACCATACATCTCCGACTCAAACAGCAAGTACACATACCCTGTATAACATAAACCATACATCTCCGACTCAAACAGCAAGTACACATACCCTGTATAACATAAACCATACATCTCCGACTCAAACAGCAAGTACACATACCCTGTATAACATAAACCATACATCTCCGACTCAAACAGCAAGTACACATACCCTGTATAACATAAACCATACATCTCCGACTCAAACAGCAAGTACACATACCCTGTATAACATAAACCATACATCTCCGACTCAAACAGCAAGTACACATACCCTGTATAACATAAACCATACATCTCCGACTCAAACAGCAAGTACACATACCCTGTATAACATAAACCATACATCTCCGACTCAAACAGCAAGTACACATACCCTGTATAACATAAACCATACATCTCCGACTCAAACAGCAAGTACACATACCCTGTATAACATAAACCATACATCTCCGACTCAAACAGCAAGTACACATACCCTGTATAACATAAACCATACATCTCCGACTCAAACAGCAAGTACACATACCCTGTATAACATAAACCATACATCTCCGACTCAAACAGCAAGTACACATACCCTGTATAACATAAACCATACATCTCCGACTCAAACAGCAAGTACACATACCCTGTATAACATAAACCATACATCTCCGACTCAAACAGCAAGTACACATACCCTGTATAACATAAACCATACATCTCCGACTCAAACAGCAAGTACACATACCCTGTATAACATAAACCATACATCTCCGACTCAAACAGCAAGTACACGTGCCCTGTATAACATAAACCATACATCTCCGACTCAAACAGCAAGTACACATACCCTATATAAAAAATATCTCCGACTAATACATAAACCATACATCTCCGACTCAAACAGCAAGTACACATACCCTGTATAAAAAATATCTCAGACTCAAACAGCAAGTACACGTACCCTGTTTAACATAAACCATACATCTCAGACTCAAACAGCAAGTACACGTACCCTGTTTAACATAAACCATACATCTCAGACTCAAACAGCAAGTACACGTACCCTGTTTAACATAAACCATACATCTCAGACTCAAACAGCAAGTACACGTACCCTGTTTAACATAAACCATACATCTCAGACTCAAACAGCAAGTACACGTACCCTGTTTAACATAAACCATACATCTCAGACTCAAACAGCAAGTACACGTACCCTGTTTAACATAAACCATACATCTCAGACTCAAACAGCAAGTACACGTACCCTGTTTAACATAAACCATACATCTCAGACTCAAACAGCAAGTACACGTACCCTGTTTAACATAAACCATACATCTCAGACTCAAACAGCAAGTACACGTACCCTGTTTAACATAAACCATACATCTCAGACTCAAACAGCAAGTACACGTACCCTGTTTAACATAAACCATACATCTCGGACTCAAACAGCAAGTACACGTACCCTGTTTAACATAAACCATACATCTCGGACTCAAACAGCAAGTACACATACCCTGTTTAACATAAACCATACATCTCGGACTCAAACAGCAAGTACATATACCCTGTTTAACATAAACCATACATCTCCGACTCAAACAGCAAGTACACATACCCTGTTTAACATAAACCATACATCTCCAACTCAAACAGCAAGTACACATACCCTGCATAAAAAATATCTCCGACTCAAACAGCAAGTACACATACCCTGCATAAAAAATATCTCTGACTAAAACAGCAACCATACATCTCCGACTCAAACAGCAAGTACACATACCCTGCATAAAAAATATCTCTGACTAAAACAGCAACCATACATCTCCGACTCAAACAGCAAGTACACATACCCTGCATAAAAAATATCTCTGACTAAAACAGCAACCATACATCTCCGACTCAAACAGCAAGTACACATACCCTGCATAAAAAATATCTCTGACTAAAACAGCAACCATACATCTCCGACTCAAACAGCAAGTACACATACCCTGCATAAAAAATATCTCTGACTAAAACAGCAACCATACATCTCCGACTCAAACAGCAAGTACACATACCCTGCATAAAAAATATCTCTGACTAAAACAGCAACCATACATCTCCGACTCAAACAGCAAGTACACATACCCTGCATAAAAAATATCTCTGACTAAAACAGCAACCATACATCTCCGACTCAAACAGCAAGTACACATACCCTGCATAAAAAATATCTCTGACTAATACAGCAACCATACATCTCCGACTCAAACAGCAAGTACACGTACCCTGTTTAGCATTTAAACCATACATCTCTGACTCAAACAGCAAGTACACGTACCCTGTATAAAAAATATCTCCGACTAAAACAGCAACCATACATCTCCGACTCAAACAGCAAGTACACGTACCCTGTATAAGAAAATATCTCCGACTAAAACAGCAAGTACACATACCCTGTTGAGCATAAACCATACATCTCCGACTCAAACAGCAAGGACACATACCCTGTATAACATAAACTATACATCTCGGACTCAAACAGCAAGGACACGTACCCTGTCCAACATTTGTGTGTTTGAATCAAACAGCATTTTCAATTATCCTTCAAAATAGACAACATATACAATTGTTACTTTGTGTATTGACATCATACATGTAAGCTACAGCATTTAGACATTTCACCCCTAAAATACATTTGAACCTTCCCAAATCAAAGACTGGGTAAGTCCAGTTTAAGTATGTAGGGCATTTATTGCAAAACTCTACTGTTGTATTGATGAGTTTGTTTGTTTAATAGAAGATTTGAAATATGCATACACAGTGTTCCTTTCCCTGATATTTTGTAAAAATTGATACCTATAAAGAAACGACGTAACGCCACCATACCGCGAAAAAATCTCCCAACTACAAATCCAATCTCCCTACTGAAAAAAACACAAATCTCCCTACTTTGCGTTCCAAAGGCATCACATGTAAGATGTAGGGATGAACGAGTTAAACTACTATTCACTATAAATTTGTACGTAAATGTACAGTGAAGGTTTCATACATGTTTATTTATTATAAAAGTTCCATTTGATCTTCAAATATTTCCTTTTAACATTCGATCATTTTAAAAACTCATCTCATCTCCTGCCCCCCTCGATTAATTTCCAATTTTACAATCGGCACAAATTTTCCATTTTTCTGCACTCTCACAATCACTATGTAGGTAATAATAATATGATGATGATTTCAATTTTTGCAGCATTTTTTGCAGGAGGAAAGTAACTGAATCTTCAATTTTCTGTCAGCCAGTTAAATAAAATCTGATTTAAAGTGATATCCATTACAACAAGGAGTTTTCCTTACCATCTTTCCCAGGCCATTCAATTTTAAAGTTTCCGAACTTGTTGAAGGCAGACTGTAGTCCAGCTAAAAACAAAATTTTAATCTTTCAAAAAATATATATATACAAATAATGACAATGTTTAACCGATGGCCATCTGGCAGCCATTTTTGTCCTATAAGTTCTAAAATGTAACAAGCCTAGCTATGGACCAAATGGAACAATCTAGTAAAATTTAAGAGACTTTCTCTAGTACTTCCAGAAAAAAATGAAACATGTTACAACTTTGAAATTCATAGATAGCAACTTGTTCATGTGTTTAGTTCAAAAATTGTATTGAGTATGCACAATACAGGAACTACAAAACTGAACTATGAATTTTAACAGAGATCCCTCCAGTATTTTCAGAGAAATAGTGATAAATTTTATAGCAATGAATGTCAAAATTTAAGAAAATCAAACATGTACAACTAAGGACAAAGTGAAACCTACATGTGAAATTAAAAAAAAAATCTGTTTAGTCCATCTTGAGAAACAAATAATTTTCAAAAGCAAATGACTGCCCACAACTAACAGACAATTGATGAAAGTCAATTTGTTATATGTTTAAATGCCCATCAACACAGAAGAGGTCATTCGGGTCCACAAATGGTAGAAGAAAACAAATGTGAAATCAAAATGTTATGAAATAGATGTAAATTTAAAGATAAAAGACAAATGTCAACTTGAACATTACAATGGCTATGGTGACTACTATTTTTGAACAGACCAACAGCTTTAACATAATTGTTGAGGCAGTTATTGTTTCAAAAAGCTGACCGACTAATGATGCATAAAGCAAAGAATACAGCTGGTATCCATACAAAAAAATCACTTCAAAATCACTAATTTTCGTCAGGTTTTTAATGTTTTTGATCTCGTGGGTTATCTTCATGCACAAATTCATTTATCCATTTAAAGCGCTTTAGAGTGGCTTATGTTAGCTAGATAGGGCTCTATATCAAATGTAGTATATCATTATTATTATTATCCACAAAGTAATTACATGTTAAATATAAAGCCATTCTCCATTTGAGTGGGTATACTTGTAACACAAGGAATAGTGTTGTGTCAGGAAACCACGAAATATGGGCCCCACGAGAATATCTGATTTCACAGTATACAGAGAAATCTCACCTTCTGTGATGTCCCAGGGAACGCCACCCAGGAAGACCTTACAGGAGTAGGTCGGGTTTTTATGGTTACGAGGACACAGTTGGCCGCTCCAGGTACAGCTGGCCTCACACATGGCTGTGGAGCAGAAAATACAGGGGTAATCTCAAAACAATAACAAGGTTACCGCGAGCGGTATATAATACGCCCGTCACACATTGAATGAGCAGTTGTTTGTATGATTGAAATATATGTAGTATTTGTGAGTAATTGATATTAAAAGAGAAATCATTCAACATAACTGGTAGATCAATGAGTGCAATACAACATCATGGAACGCATGCATCACATTAATGAAACCAAGGGGTATAACTCCAGTAATTATGGNGGGCGTATAAAAATCAAAGATTGTCTCAAACAATTATTAGTGGACAACTAACCAGGATATCTTCCCACTTTCATTTATCTTTGTTTCCCATATCAATTTTAATAAGTTTATATGCTCAAATTTATTGTCCTCATGCATGTGTCATCTATTCTTATTGTAGTTTGTACTGTGTGGATAGGGCCTAGTACGTTTTCAGAATTTGTACCTAACCTTTTGTTTCTTCACTACAATATATTTGAATGAGCTCGGGTCCCTGTAGAAAACATGTAACACTACCCTTCAATGTTAAACGCATAAGAAATACAGGAACTATTGCTGTGGTGCTGAAGACACAAGATGACAACAGAATACAGCCAATTCTCATTGTGGTATCACATTGACTGGTGTAAAAAGTGAAGTGTCTGAATAAAATCTCATTTTTTCTTTTATTTTTTTTTATTTTTTTTTTAAATTTTAAATTTTTTGAATTGAATATTTTTTATTGAAGAAGGAATTTCTTTCCGAGATCAACTAACTTTACCTGCTGCGTTCCTGTGGAGACGAGCTGCACGGTCAATGGCGTATGGGTCCACATTAGCCATGAGCATTGGGTTGACGGAGTAGCCACCGGCCCTGTTGGAATGGATCAGCTGGCTCGCCATGGAGTTCATGGCCGCGGAGGCACTGGTGGCTTGGATCAGCTGCTGCTGCTGCTGGTGAGCCTGAGCTTGAGCCTGGGCGGCCACTTGAGCTTGCTGTTGTTGAGCGTTGAACAGCTGAGTGGCCACATCATGAACCTGGGGTTTGGCAGTCCTTGATCCGATGTTCAGGGAATTCTGTTAACAACAAGAAGATTTCTCTATTCGTAAGCGTTGTTTGGGAACATTGGAAAACACTGGGTCAAAATTCAGAAAAAACAGGAATTTGTGGGGTTTTCAATTTCGTTGATTTCTTAGGTAATCTTCAATTCATAGGTCCACAAAGTGATTACAAGTTTGAATTCTCCTTTTTCAGGGGGTACTCATTTTACAACAACCTGGTCCTACAGTAAGTGGGAAAATATAGCATTATATTTTTATTGAAATTAGTTAGATATTACTGATCTTTTCTTCATTTTGTAAAAAATCTTTTGAGCCAGGGGACTGTCCTAAACCATGAATTTCTTGTTTCAATCAAAGTGGTATTTATTCAGGACACTTTGAAATTTCGGCCCTGCAAAATTGTCCGATTTCAAAGAACTTTAGTGCAGAAATGGAATACATACTTCCAGAACACCTGTTCAAACAAGGTCAACACTTACCATCATGTCCACAAGAGCACTATCGGAACCCTCACTGCTGATGCCGCTCGTGTCGGAATCACTTGGAGACATACTTCGGCCATTGTGTCCACCTTTCATCAGACTCGAGTAGATCATCTTCTCCACGGGGGAGAGGGCCGAATCATTCAGCGAGCTGGATGGAGAGAGCGTTCCATAGTCACTGCAATGGTAGTTATTTTCACCTTATTGGAAGGAGCGTAGTATCACTCCCACACAAAGATAAAATCCAAAGAATTAACATAACCTTTCCCCACCCTGGGGACAAGACAGAAAAATCTCAACACAAGGGGTAAGATGACTAAATATCTAGCCAGTGGCTTTTGGGCTAGGCATTTAAGAATCTCTTTGGGTTGAGATTTTTAGGTCTTTTTCCTAAAGTGGGGAATGATATATTATTTTCCTCCTACATCAAATACAAGTGGTCTTTTCATGATATATATTTACAAACACCGATTTAGTAATTTTCAGCAAATTGGAGTTACCTTGCGTGAGCTGCTAATGTTGATGCGACGTCATTGCATTGTTGACGCCATACAATTGTTATGACCAGTTATAACCAGTTTTGTTTTCAGAACAAAACATGTCTCCTTTATCAGCCGTTTTGGATATTTGCACTTTAAATATTTGAAATATAACCTGGAGTTGAAACATTCCACTGACCTAAATATAATGGAGCTTTCAGTGATACAGGTACTTCACTTATAATTTTGTACTGATTTAGTTATTAGTTTTAGTTCTTTTGTAGTTATCATCCTCCTCATATATTTCATAGCAAAATTGAAGGCAAGCGGCTAACTATCTGATCGGTCTCGGGTAAAAAACCCTGACCAATTGCTAGGCCGATACCTTTCCTTTGAAGATGAGAGCAGCGACAATTTTACTGTTACACCTTCGCGTGATTCTTTTGATGTATATTAAAGGATCAAACTAGTTTTCTTATGTCTCGTCTACAAAAAGGTGGCGAATACCGAGCCTTCCAATTCTGCCATGACATATTCCAGGGGTGCAAAGAACATAATGAGTGCAACCCCTGCAGTATCGAGGATGGGGTATCATGGCCTCATTACAATGTACTGCACACCTTTTGGCAGATGCAGATATAGTTCAAGTTTAATCAAAATATCATCAAAAGTTTACAAGTTCTGTAAAAATGTTACAGGAAGAAGAAGTTTAGGATCCTTATACCTTGTTAGGAGTACATGAGGAGTAACTTTCCACAGACTTGATGGACTTGGGAGTATTTCATGTGTATATGCTCCTGAAGGACTGTGGAAGGCTGAGATAAAAGATCTGTGATTCCTAATATTTGCGGTTGTTGTATAGATATGTTAAGGGACAAAGGTTGAGTGTAGGCTGATATTTATGCATCTCATCAATGCCCGTACTGGCCCTGGAGAGCCCCTCCACACCCTTAATGGCCCTCAAGCATTGCAGAGGGTACTGTGAGAGACGGAGAAAATATATTTGTGCTCAATGGAGTATCTGGGAGTCTTGATAAAGGGGATAGACAGGGAGTAGTGGAGAGCTCCCCTCTACACCCTCGATGGCCCTGGAATTGTTCAGACATGTGGTCTAGACCTTAGGGTTTATGGCAGACAGAGAGCAAAAATCTATGCCCCCTAACGGGGGTTTGCAGCAAGGGAGATGGGAGGCTGAAGTCTATGATCTCTATACAAATACTTACCTGTTAGGAGAACATGGAGAGTGCCCCTCCACACCCTTGATGGCCCTGGAGTATTTTGGTGGCGTTGTGTAATCCTGTTTCATCTGACCATGGTAAGAGTAGTCCTGCTTCACTGTCCCCGGGTAAGTGTACGCCTGCTGCTGCTGCTGCTGCTGCTGCTGCTGCTGCTGCTGGGTGTGACTCTGGGAGGCAGGCATCGAGAACAGCTGGAATCCTGAAATAAAAAACATGTTAAGAAAATAGAACAAATTCAACGAAGTCATGAATGTCCCAAAATCTGTGTAAGTTTAAATACTGTATAACATGTTTGTTGTGTATAAACATTTGTGGTTTTTATGGTTGCTATGGAACCACAAACATAAATACAAGGAATTTGAATGATACAAGTGTCTACTGTTTGTAAATAGAGGACATCCACGACAGTTTGTACCACAAAATGATCTAAATGGCTTCAAACCACGAAGGAAAGTATCCACGAACATTTCGTGTTGTACAGTAGGCTTAATATTTTCTTTGATTTTTCAACCTTAATTTTACAACAGCCTGTTCCTAAATGAATTGGGAATATATCCCTGATTTTTTCTTCATTTAGAGAAGATAAAGGACAGTTAAGCCTAGGAAAGCAGCCTGTATTCAGTCGTATTTATAAATAGTCATGTTGAATAGCACCCTTCAATACAAATTCTTCAATGTTTTGTCATATTTGATCATTTCAATGTGAATATTTGTCGATCATTATTTTATTAGAAACTGTTCAGGGACAGAATGACTAGAGGGGAGACATTTTTCTAAAGCGTTTTTTGCTTTGACCTTTACACCATAAAACATGAATTAAACTCAGGTGTTTTCAAAATTGACTTTTGTACATTTTTTTCAAAATTTTGTTAGGTAATGTCCCTGGAAGCAACCAGCATAATATTATGACTCTAAGCATTTCCATTCTTCAGGGGAAGAGGTCGTAGTTTTTTTTATCATATTTGACCCTTGTAGCCCTCAATATAGGTAAAGGTAATTCTTATTTGCAAACTTTGTTGTGGCCCTATTCAGGAAGCTATCATACTTCTAGGCCTTTCCATTCTTTAAAAGAAATCATTTTAAGGAAAAGTTCACAGACAACCTTACTTGCCCTTTGAGCAGGTGAGCTAAAAATTGTAGTTGTTATTCCCTGCTTAACATTCAGCATTTGGGTTTACAATTGACAGTACAATGTGACAGGTTGAAATACTGTGATGGGTGCGCACCTTCGGCATGGTATTTCAGTGTGGTAGCACTCGAAATTCTGCATGAGATCTGCACTATCACAAAGAGGCAAATACACTAACATACCCTGCTCCAACATACATACAGACATGGACTTAACCTTTTAACCCCTATATAACTTTATCAGACTCTCCCATGATTTGATCTGGATGTATCCATTATGGTCTACAGTGGTGAAAGGGTTAAATGACCACTATAGCTTCAAATAGGACACTATACCCAATAAGACCATGGCATTATCAGGACCATTTCTATTGTAGCCTATCTGTCACTTGTCCATGTGGTCTCCGTAGACTGACCAGACTTACCTGGGTAGGCGGCAGTGTTATACATGGTATCGTAGCCTGTCTGTCTGAGGTGGTGTGGACAGTGACCAGACTTACTTGGGTAGGCGTCAGTGTTATACATGGTATCGTAGCCAGTCTGTCTGATATTGAGTTGACAATGACGAGACTTACCTGGGTAGGCGTCGGTGTTATACATGGTATCGTAGCCAGTCTGTCTGATATTGAGTTGACAATGACCAGACTTACCTGGGTAGGCGGCAGTGTTTTACATGGTATCGTAGCCAGTCTGTCTGATATTGAGTTGACAATGACCAGACTTACCTGGGTAGGCGGCAGTGTTTTACATGGTATCGTAGCCAGTCTGTCTGATATTGAGTGGACAATGACCAGACTTACCTGGGTAGGCGGCAGTGATTTACATGGTATCGTAGCCAGTCTGTCTGATATTGAGTGGACAATGACCAGACTTACCTGGGTAGGCGGCAGTGTTATACATGGTATCGTAGCCTGTCTGTCTGAGGTGGTGTGGACTGTGACCAGACTTACCTGGGTAGGCTGCGGTGTTATACATGGTATTGTAGCCTGTCTGTCAGATGTGGAGTTGACTGTGATCAGACTTACCTGGGTAGGCAGCAGTGTTATACCTGGTATCGTAGCCTGTCTGTCGGATGTGGAGTTGACTGATCAGTCTTACCTGGGTAGGCAGCAGTGTTATACATGGTATCAAAGCCAGTCTGTCTAAGGTGGTGTGGACTGTGACCAGACTTACCTCGGTAGGCTGCAGTGTTATACATGGTATTGTAGCCTGTCTGTTAGATGTGGGGTTGACTGTGATCAGACTTACCTGGGTAGGCTGCGGTGTTATCCATGGTATTGTAGCCTGTCTGTCAGATGTGGAGCTGACTGTGATCAGACTTACCTGGGTAGGCGGCGGTGTTATACATGGTATCGTAGCCAGTCTGTCGGATGTGGAGGTGACTGGGACGAGACTTACCTGGGTAGGCTGCGGTGTTATCCATGGTATTGTAGCCTGTCTGTCAGATGTGGAGTTGACTGTGATCAGACTTACCTGGGTAGGCGGCGGTGTTATACATGGTATCGTAGCCAGTCTGTCTGAAGTGGTGTGGACTGTGACCAGACTTACCTGGGTAGGCGGCGGTGTTATACATGGTATCGTAGCCAGTCTGTCTGAGGTGGTGTGGACTGTGACCAGACTTACCTGGGTAGGCTGTGGTTTTATACATGGTATCGTAGCCTGTCTGTCTGAGGTGGTGTGGACTGTGACCAGACTTACCTGGGTAGGCTGCAGTGTTATACATGGTATTGTAGCCTGTCTGTCGGATGTGGAGTTGACTGATCAGACTTACCTGGGTAGGCAGCAGTGTTATACATGGTATCGTAGCCAGTCTGTCTGAGGTGGTGTGGACTGTGACCAGACTTACCTGGGTAGGCGGCAGTTTTATACATGGTATCGTAGCCAGTCTGTCGGATGTGGAGTTGACTGTGATCAGACTTACCTGGGTAGGCAGATGTGTTATACATGGTATCGTAGCCTGTCTGTAGATGTGGAGTTGACTGTGACCAGACTTACCTGGGTAGGCGGCAGTGTTATACATGGTATCGTAGCCAGTCTGTCGGATGTGTGGTTGACTACGACGAGACTTACCTGGGTAGGCTGCGGTGTTATACATGGTATTGGGTAGGCGGCAGTGTTATACATGGTATCGTAGCCAGTCTGTCTGAGGTGGTGTGGACTTTGACCAGACTTACCTGGGTAGGCGGCAGCCTTATACATGGTATCGTAGCCTGTCTGTTGGATATGGAGTTGACTGTGATCAGACTTACCTGGGTAGGCTGAGGTGTTATACATGGTATCAAAGCCAGTCTGTCTGAGGTGGTGTGGAAACTTACCTGGGTAGGCAGCAGTCTTATACATGGTATCGTAGCCTGTCTGTTGGATATGGAGTTGACTGTGATCAGACTTACCTGGGTAGGCTGCGGTGTTATACATGGTATCGTAGCCGGTCTGTCTGAGGTGGTGTAGACTGTGACAGACTTACCTGGGTAGGCTGCGGTGTTATACATGGTATCTTAGCCAGTCTGTCTGAGGTGGTGTGGACTGTGATCAGACTTACCTGGGTAGGCTGCGGTGTTATACATGCTATCTTAGCCAGTCTGTCTGAGGTGGTGTGGACTGTGATCAGACTTACCTGGGTAGGCTGCGGTGTTATATATGGTATCTTAGCCAGTCTGTCTGAGGTGGTGTAGACTGTGACAAGACTTACCTGAGTAGGCTGCGGTGTTATACATGGTATCGTAGCCAGTTTGTCTGAGGTGGTGTGGACTGTGACAGACTTCCCTGGGTAGGCAGCAGTGTTATACATGGTATCGTAGCCTGTCTGTCTGAGGTGGTGTGGACTGTGACCAGACCCTGTCTGTCAGATGTGGAGTTGACTGTGATCAGACTTACCTGGGTAGGCTGCGGTGTTATACATGCTATCTTAGCCAGTCTGTCTGAGGTGGTGTGGACTGTGATCAGACTTACCTGGGTAGGCTGCGGTGTTATACATGGTATTGTAGCCAGTCTGTCTGAGGTGGTGTGGGCTGTGACCAGACTTACCTGGGTAGGCTGCAGTGTTATACATGGTATCGTAGCCAGTTTGTCTGAGGTGGTGTGGACTGTGACAGACTTACCTGGGTAGGCAGCAGTGTTATACATGGTGTCGTAGCCAGTCTGTCTGAGGTGGTGTGGACTGTGATCAGACTTACCTGGGTAGGCTGCGGTGTTATATATGGTATCTTAGCCAGTCTGTCTGAGGTGGTGTAGACTGTGACAAGACTTACCTGAGTAGGCTGCGGTGTTATACATGGTATCGTAGCCTGTCTGTCTGAGGTGGTGTGGACTGTGACCAGACGTACCTGGGTAGGCTGCGGTGTTATACATGGTATTTTAGCCAGTCTGTCTGAGGTGGTGTGGACTGTGATCAGACTTACCTGGGTAGGCTGCGGTGTTATACATGGTATCGTAGCCAGTCTGTCCCATGTCCTGCATTGCAGTTTGTGGTAATGTCATTGGAACTCCTCCTTTCATAGCTTCTGTAACAAAGATAAAATCTCAGGTGGCTTCAAAAAAAAAAAAATCTCCTGCAACCTCATATTTTTGGACTTATTGTTAATTTTGCGACAAGATCTTGATAAGCATGCGCTTTTAGTGTTTTTCCCACCAAGATTTTCATAGGTAAAATTTATCATGAATTGCTTCACATAAATTATCAGATCTTTGACAAACTGAATATACAGAATGTTGTTATACCCATCAGGCCATAATATCAATTTGTCTCCAACATGCCTGAAATAGGTGCGTGTGACTGACATTTTCTACCTTGTCATCTATAAGTCGACTATTGTTATGTAACAGAGGATACACTTGATTAATGTTTGGTGGCAGGGAGGGTGTAAGTGACTTGCGTTAGAATGACTTACGTTTGTTGGCAGGGAGGGTGTAAGTGACTTGTGTTAGAATGACTTACGTTTGTTGGCAGGGAGGGTGTAAGTGACTTGTGTTAGAATGACTTACGTTTGGTGGCAGGAAGGGTGTAAGTGACTTGCGTTAGAATGACTTACATTTGTTGGCAGGGAGGGTGTAAGTGACTTGCGTTAGAATGACTTACGTTTGTTGGCAGGGAGGGTGTAAGTGACTTGCGTTAGAATGACTTACGTTTGTTGGCAGGGAGGGTGTAAGTGACTTGCGTTAGAATGACTTACGTTTGTTGGCAGGGAGGGTGTAAGTGACTTGCGTTAGAATGACTTACGTTTGTTGGCAGGGAGGGTGTAAGTGACTTGCGTTAGAATGACTTACGTTTGTTGGCAGGGAGGGTGTAAGTGACTTGCGTTAGAATGACTTACGTTTGTTGGCAGGGAGGGTGTAAGTGACTTGCGTTAGAATGACTTACGTTTGTTGGCAGGGAGGGTGTAAGTGACTTGCGTTAGAATGACTTACGTTTGTTGGCAGGGAGGGTGTAAGTGACTTGCGTTAGAATGACTTACGTTTGTTGGCAGGGAGGGTGTAAGTGACTTGCGTTAGAATGACTTACGTTTGTTGGCAGGGAGGGTGTAAGTGACTTGCGTTAGAATGACTTACGTTTGTTGGCAGGGAGGGTGTAAGTGACTTGCGTTAGAATGACTTACGTTTGTTGGCAGGGAGGGTGTAAGTGACTTGCGTTAGAATGACTTACGTTTGTTGGCAGGGAGGGTGTAAGTGACTTGCGTTAGAATGACTTACGTTTGTTGGCAGGGAGGGTGTAAGTGACTTGCGTTAGAATGACTTACGTTTGTTGGCAGGGAGGGTGTAAGTGACTTGCGTTAGAATGACTTACGTTTGTTGGCAGGGAGGGTGTAAGTGACTTGCGTTAGAATGACTTACGTTTGTTGGCAGGGAGGGTGTAAGTGACTTGCGTTAGAATGACTTACGTTTGTTGGCAGGGAGGGTGTAAGTGACTTGCGTTAGAATGACTTACGTTTGTTGGCAGGGAGGGTGTAAGTGACTTGCGTTAGAATGACTTACGTTTGTTGGCAGGGAGGGTGTAAGTGACTTGCGTTAGAATGACTTACGTTTGTTGGCAGGGAGGGTGTAAGTGACTTGCGTTAGAATGACTTACGTTTGTTGGCAGGGAGGGTGTAAGTGACTTGCGTTAGAATGACTTACGTTTGTTGGCAGGGAGGGTGTAAGTGACTTGCGTTAGAATGACTTACGTTTGTTGGCAGGGAGGGTGTAAGTGACTTGCGTTAGAATGACTTACGTTTGTTGGCAGGGAGGGTGTAAGTGACTTGCGTTAGAATGACTTACGTTTGTTGGCAGGGAGGGTGTAAGTGACTTGCGTTAGAATGACTTACGTTTGTTGGCAGGGAGGGTGTAAGTGACTTGCGTTAGAATGACTTACGTTTGTTGGCAGGGAGGGTGTAAGTGACTTGCGTTAGAATGACTTACGTTTGTTGGCAGGGAGGGTGTAAGTGACTTGCGTTAGAATGACTTACGTTTGTTGGCAGGGAGGGTGTAAGTGACTTGCGTTAGAATGACTTACGTTTGTTGGCAGGGAGGGTGTAAGTGACTTGCGTTAGAATGACTTACGTTTGTTGGCAGGGAGGGTGTAAGTGACTTGCGTTAGAATGACTTACGTTTGTTGGCAGTGAGGGTGTAAGTGACTTGCGTTAGAATGACTTACGTTTGTTGGCAGTGAGTGTGTAAGTGACTTGCATTAAGTGACTTGCGTTAGAGTGACTTACGTTTTTTGGTAGGGAGAGATTACGTGGTGGCAGGGAGGGTGTTAGTGACTTGTGTTAGAAGGGCTTATGTTTGTTGGCAGGAAGGGTGTAAGTGACTTGTGTTAGAGTGACTTATGTTTGTTGGCGGGCAGGGTGTAAGTGACTTGTGTTGGAATGACTTATGTTTGTTGGCGGGCAGGGTGTAAGTGACTTGCGGTAGAATGACTTACGTTTGTTGACAGGGAGGGTGTAAGCGATTTGCGTTAGAATGACTTTCGTTTGTTGGCAGTGAGTGTGTAAGGGACTTGCATTAAGTGACTTGCGTTAGAGTGACTTTACGTTTGGTGGCAGGGAGGGTGTAAGTGACTTGCGTTAGAATGACTTACGTTTTTTGGTAGGGAGAGATTACGTGACTTACGCTAAAACGACTTACGTTTAGTTTGTTCGGGAGGAATGTTCATGCCACACAGGTTTGTCAGATTGAGTGTGTTGTCGAGGAGAGCGTTGATTTGTTTGAAAATGTCCTGCTGACTATATTTTACGCCTTCCCCCTCATAGTCCTCTACACCACCGATGGGTGGCATTTCCTGCAACAGTGAAAAGCATCTTGTCATTACATATATTACATCAGATATTTACTCCTTAATGACAATCACATTACGGTAGACCACCATCTTTGTTGAACATAGTTTACTGACGTGGCCTTCGTTAAAAATCCAGAACTTCCATGTAAATATCATCACCCTAGTACAAACAATGATGGTAGTTTTTGTGAATTATAACAATTAAGCAAATTTATTTTTAGTCAAGATTAAATTTGAAGTTGGGTGGGNTTAAAGAAAGAAAGTCGAATTGCATGGTCCACCATCTCGAAAAGAAAGGATTTCCTCTGGATTCGTTTTTAAACAGAACTTGCAGACAGATGCAATTAATACTTAATAAAAGATACCAAATAGATATTTGTGTTGCTATATGAATTGACAAGTCAATAAACGTTAAGTTATTAAGTAAATCAAAATTAGGTTGCAATCCCTGTCCTTCTTCAGGCAATACACTGGAGATTTCCACTGGTTTTTCGTACATCACTTACCTCCCCTTAATATAAATGTAGCTTGCTTGGTTTGTATTTTTATGACCTATTAACAGCTATGGTCATATTTAAGGACGTGCCAGGTTTTGGTGGTGAAGGAAAGCCAGAGTTTCCGGGGGAAAACCACCAACCGACGGCCACTACACCTGGTGACTGCCCCACGTTGGCCTCGAACCTGCGACCCAGTGGTGGAGGGCTTAAGATCATATAAGTTCCTCAACATCGTTTTTTTTACGAAAGTGATCTATTAGAGCTTTACCATGGATATATACAGGTCCTTTTTATGGCCGAATATGAGTCATTTCCCCTCCCCAATTTTGGCATTTCTTCCCCCTTGCAGCTTTATTTACCCCTATTTCACGTCCCGAGTGATTTATTTCATTTTCCCTGTGTTAATGTTAATTGTCACTGCTGATATTTTACGACACTGTTTACAGCTGGCCCTGTTTACAGTATACAATAACAATAGCGTAACAGTCACACAAACGCTTTATTCTAATGCATATATATCCTGTGGTCATTTTTAAGGGTCTATAATGAACAGTGAGAAACAAATTACGAATGTCAGCCATGCCGCCCTCTTGTACTCAACCCTTGGCTCCTACCTGTGGCCACCCTGCCTACCGGCAGTTTGTGCACCTACAGCACATATTTTCCCCTATTTCAAAAAAGAGTACTCACTTTTTGTTCCAGCATTAATCCCTGTGTAACATTCAGCCTGGGGGAAGAGGTAGCACCCATTAAGTAGAGACTTAGATCCCCACCATATATGGACAACCACCAAATACCAAAATCTCAGTTTCTGAGTAGTCAATGATTGCTCATGGACAATGGTTAGACATTACAAGAAAGTCAATCACGATAGATAAAATTACTGTCTCAGGTTATCTATTAGACCAAAAAATTACATTTCTGTGCCCATCCTTAAGTATCTGTTGGCATTTCAAGGAAGGACTAGTGATATCAGATTTCAATAACTTTATTTAAAACTTTAAGCTTGAATTAATTTTGACCAATGATTTTTTGCATGTTTTCAGAAACAGCTTTTTCTTGGCCTAACCACAATGATACACCAGCAAGAGCCCCACCCGACCTTCTCCACCCACCCCGACCTTCTCCTTCTCCACCCACCCCGACCTTCTCCCACACCCTCAGTCCATTTTCAGCAACTGTAACCTTGAACTGAACCTATCACAAACAAACAAAGTGTATCACAATGTCACACTTTTAAAACAAGACCAGTCTTTTGGATCCCGAGATAATGACAGCAGCCCCTAAAGTCTATTTTAGATAACTGTGACCTTGACCTTAGAATCTTTTTATATCCCTATCGTATATCTACATATCAGCGTATGCATGACCATGTCAAATTTCCCAAAGATTAGATTTTCAATTCCAACATAAGGACAATATCCATCATGACCTATTTTTAGAAAAGTGACCTTGACCTTAAAAATTATTAAAAACTCTATTGCACATCTACATATTACAGTGTATCACCGTACCAAATTTCCAAAAGATCACACTTTTGCATTCGGGGGGAAAAGGACCGTCGGTCTCCCTATGGTCTATTTTTAGTAATAATGAAAAGTTTTTAAACTGTTATTGTATACATATCACAATGTTCCACTACATTAAATTTCAGAAAGATTGGCCTTTCTGATTACAAGTTTATCTCCAGAAACGAAAGCGTGGACGGACAGACACTGACAGACACAGACACCGATTACTATTGGGCTACACATCTGTGATATGGGGCCCTAATTAGACTAATTGGTGTTTGATTATGAACAAGTGTGACGGGCACCGATATAGTCATTAAATATCAAGTCCCAGCACTATTCTGCTGTACACAGGTCTTGGAAAGCTGTTTTACTATTTCCTCTCATACAATGATTGATGGCCATTATTAGGAATTGAAATTTGAAATATTCAGTTGTATTGCACAAGTATTGACATAAACCAATACCATGACAGGTAACTAGCAGACAAGGGCCTACTTTATAATCCAGAAGTCCTGGCAGGGCTAGAAATACGTTTAAAAACCACTAGTCAGCCAGGCTAGTAGTTACTTATTTTACTAGTCCTTGTGAAAATTCCACTAACCCAGTATATTATTCAACATGATAAGTAATATAGAATTTTGGCAAGTCCATCGACCTAGCAGTTTTTAAACCACTAGATATGTAGTCCAGCTGGCAATTTCACTAGTCTCAGACTAGTGGGTTGCCCTTATTGTCGAGCCCTGCCAGGGTATCTAATCCCTGTGGTGCTCATATTTTTTGGGAAAGGGAAATGATTGAAAAAAATTATATAATATATAATTTTTCACAAGCAACTTGAAGTTTGAAATTGTTAAACAAATTGGAACTCTTAATTCTTCATTGGAGATTCAGCTCAGATCACCAACTCTTACTACTTTAATACTGAAGTAGATGGGGTTTTTAAACTGGGGTCTCAAACAGATCAACTTGTTAATTTCAATACAAATGGAAGGACTTCATTCCCTATTAATTTGGCTTCAGATTTGTAAGGAGATGTCAAAAACAGCCTGGATCTATATATATAGAAACATTCATTTCAGTAGTTGATGAAGACGTCCGGTAACTTTTGACACACCTCCAATGGACTGGTTTACCCAAACCAGACACTTTCTTTAAATTTATCTTACCAAATTATCTCAGCACACTGATGTCATTATAACAATTAGTTGAAGTTTTCAACATAATTAATTAAGCATCTTCAAGTGCAGTACTGTACCTGTGAATGCCTTGAAATCCATTTCTTGAATCTGACTTTTTTAACACAGTTAAAAGTTTCAAAGTCTGATATTCCACAAATTCTCAAAAGTTCCTGAACACATCCAGTAGCATATATCCCTCAGTTTTCAGCGAACACTTAGTAAGTATAAGTCCATTAAAGAACACAGTTCAGGAGAGTAAAGTAACTTTCTTCATTTCATTTTCAGATAAAACTTCCAAGATACAGTCACTCACATTTTCAACAGATGTGGAAAACAAGTTGGATAATCAGGATTCCTGCTCTGATAAATAATTTCAAAGTTATTAGTGTTTATATAAATTCCATATCTGGGTAAATCAATCTATCAAATTCAAAAGTGTGTTTATTAAAGGAAAAAAACCCAGATCAATAACTTCTTTACACCCAAAGGTAAATTCCTGTTACAACTCCAGCTTTTTCCCATCCACAAATTAGCAAAGGATTCTGGTAACTAAAATTTCAGTAGATCTAAAACTCTCAATATCCTGGAATGTCCGTGTCAATAGGTTACCCCGAAACAGATATGTGTATATTCCAGTATTTTCACATCCACCATAATAGCACAGATATATATATGTCTGTAACTTAATTTCAGTATTTTTCACATCAACAGATACTCATAAATATTTGCCAATGCCTGTAAGCCTGTTGTCACAAATATTGTTACATTGGGATATAAGTATTTTTCACCTCCACAGTTGCTCAATATTTGCCAGTTTGTGTAATAGCCACAAAGATGAATGGGTAGGTCAGTATATCTACACCTCCACAGTTATCCAGTATTTATTTGTAATGATTCTGCCCTGGTCACATCCTCTGATAATTTTAACACTTCCCTCCACAAGGTTTTGTCCTCACTTTCCCACACACAGGGCTAGCCATCAGTGTAATCACATGTCCCCCCAACCCAAGAAATGGAAACTTACATCCAGACCCCTGATTGGCCAATAACACACGAAGATAAAAACCATGACGAAATATAAATGGTTTTACAAGATAGAGCTGACCACTGGCTCAATACATCACCACCAGTCAGATAACTTGACCACCAATTAGGTCTGGTGTATACTTCCTGCAGAGTTATCTGTGTCAGGTTCCCCATCAAAAATTAACAAACCAAATCTGAAAGCCTGGTTAGTTTAAATATTGACCACTGTAAATTAAAATCTACATATTTGAAATTGTTATAATCTATTGGGATATATCTGTAAAATTGTAATAAAAAAAATGCAAGGGAAAAAAGTACCGTTAATATACACGATTACTGATTCGAGTTCGGAAAATGTCATTCTACATTAAAAGATGCAGTATTAAACCTAATTAGGACTTTGGTAATATAATTTTTAAATTTAAGGCTAATAATATCATAAAGTAATACAAAGTAAAATGTATCAAGGGAGAAAACTCTTGACACAAATGATACTTGTTATGGTAATGTTAATACTAGTACATTAATGTAACCTTCAATTAATTTGAGCTTGTTACACAACTATGAAGACAGAATTATGCTGAGTTTTATTTTATAAGTTGAATTACCAACCAATCCAAAATAGTAATAAAACACTTTCACAAAAGATTAGGGCAAAATATAATATATCAAGAGTTTTGAAAGGCGGTCTTCCTAAAAAGAAAAGGAAGTCCAGACCACCGACATATTTCATCTTTTTATGATATTTTTATCAAATTATTTCAAAAATGATGCAAGAACATGTGTCT